ATATCTTTTAAAAAATTACATACACATTGTATGAATACTTAACTTTTCTTTCTCACCTAATTTCTTGTTTAGTTAAACTCAAAACAATTTCAAATGTGCACAATAAAATTTATTGTCAATAAATCACAATAAATCATTCAAACTAAGATCATACAAATAGCATATAAATAAACAAAATACGAACAATATATCATCTCTTTAATTTGCGCACAAATACCACAATAAAGTACCAATATCATAATATGACCATTTTTTTTTTTGCTATTCTATTGATATGAAAATAAATTATATTCACAATTCATATTCATAAATATGCAAGTAAATTGGCACCATAAATTAACATTTCAAAGTGACCAATAACTACTTTTAATGTTTATCAATATCTTAATATCAAATACTTATAATAATATATTTCTACCAATAAATCACAAGAAATTTAAAATAATATTATATAACCTTCTGGATATAGCCTTCTGGGCTAATGATTATATTTTTCAACTTTGATTAATTTGAACATATTTCTCTATAAGACATTACCTTGGGCATTATAATTACATTTTCATACTTTTCATAACATCTCTTGATCTTTTGATTTCATAACCAATTTTAACATTTACTTTCAATAGATTGTTACATATATTTGTCTATATGACTTCTGGTCATATTATGATATTTACTCATAATTGTTTTTTACTATAGAGGTATCAATATCTCCTCAATTATGGTTTAATAGCTAAAACCAAATATTATTGCCCTTTAATTATTAATTCCAATGGTACGATGTGGGCATGCTCTTTATCACTCTTATAGACATGTTCCTTACTTTCAGTAGCACATAATCAATTTATTCAAATATTAGTCTTCAGGACTATAGTAAAAATCTTTCAAATAAAGCTCTTTTATGCCATTTGAAGTTTGAACTATTAGCCTTCAGGCCTTTAATACTTGTCACAATATAGCTTTCAGGGCTTCAATACTTGTCACCCTGTAGTTTTCAGGGCTTTGATATTTGTCACTATCAAATCATCAAAGTGCTATAGATTTTTCTTGTCATTCCATTTAAAAGCATCCATAGTGTTCTTTCACAAAAGAACAATTGCAAAAGTGATATGACTTCTGGTCATCTAATCACATATGGCTTCTAGCCATTTAATAAAATGAAATTAAATAATATTGTAATGAAATAAATTAAATAAATTAAAATTCATAATCAAATATAAATAACATTATATAAGCATATATATATATATGATACTGCGACAGATATAAAATGACATAATATAAACCAAACAGATATATGTAAACAAACAATAGAACAAGAAGTATGAAAAAATAAATAAAATAAATAACACAATATCACAATGGGGAGATAATAGAATTAAAATGTATAAAAAGAATAAATCAATAAATAACATAAAAGAACAACATAATATATAGCAAATATATAGAAAATTAAAATTAGACGTGATAATAAGATAAAAAGAATAATTGGGTAAGGAGAAGTTAGTAGAAAGTATTATCATATACTATAAGAATATATTAATTTACAAATGGCTCATACCTCAAATCTTTAGAGCAAACTCGTGCTGATAACGTGTTATGAAAAATGAGAAAAGTACAAAGATTGAGATGAGGGAGATGGAGAAAATAAGAGGAAATTGGAGGAGAAATTAAGGGGGAGTTCTCGTTCACTTCATTGTCTCAAATGTGTGTACATCATCTCCTATTTATAGGACCCCAATATTGAAGACTAACCTAAAGAGTTACAAGTACATAAACAAAGGAATTAAGCAACATAATTGTACAATTGGAGGTTATAGGAAATCAATACTTGAAACCCTTCAATTTTGGAGTTATAAGGTATAATGCCATTAACCATGAGAAGGAATCCTAAGGGACTAAGGAGTTATGAACATCCACACAACATAATATTTACAACAGAGCCCACCTTGATCCTCGCCCTGGGGAAAAATTGCAACTGCGGACCGAAACTCCGAAGTCCGAAAGTGGTAGATACTTCTATTTTTAATGGTATTTTAATGTTTAAAATTATTTCAGAAGACGCTACCATATAATGACTAGGAATTTCAGCTGGCCTAATAACATATTTCCTTAAAATGTTTTCCAAACCTAAGATCACAAGTTTGACTCTCGAAAGATCCTACTTATAGGAATTAAATAACTAATTTATAAATATTTTTAAAAAATTAGTTAAATATATTATTTATAAAAAATATGTGTTTATTTTTCTAAAATAACCTCTTTAATGATTTGTATGAGAAACGGCTTCATTGATGAGCAAACAATAGAAATAATTTTAAAAAAAATTATAAATTTAAAAAATAAATTAAAATCTTATATTTAATATCAAAACAAATTTTTTAATTAATTTCTATTTTTAGTAATAAAGGGAGTATTTTAAAATAAAATACACGTGAATATATAATAATAGAGAGAATTAAAGTAATTGCCAAAAAAATCTCAAGAACAAGTGAGCCATATGTAGTTGTTGTTAGTTTTTATCTTGGACATTACAGTCTGTTATGTTGCGCAGCTTTTTAGTAATTACTCTTATGGTCCTAAATATAAGACCCTTATACTCTTCCAGACCGGAGGAATATATACTATCTTCAGTCTTTAGTTGACTAATTTAAGTAAATTACAGAAATAAGTTATGTTAGTTATTTATATAAATATATGTCTTAAAATATTCTTACTAATTAATTTTATTGACTAGAACTATTATTATTAGAAAGATTATCTTAAAAATAAATAAATAAATAAATATGATAGACAAAGTAGATCGGAGTCTTATATTTAAAATCAAAATAAAAATTAAATAAGATCTAATATTAAGGATCAGAGGTAATATTTCTTCCTCCAGACTTCCTAATAATTCTACAATAATAATAATAATAATGGGAGGTTCAATTTTACCCCCTATTTTTTTGGATATAAAAAAAATTAGATGAGTTAAGTCTAAGAACTCATCAGGACCAAAATATACCTCTAGAGTCAGGGCGCGTCCAGAGGCTTTTATCCCCTATCTTAGCGTCACTGAAAATTATTTTCAATGGGATCAATCATTGTGATCCGGGGGAAGAGCATTCTCGCACACACCCAGAAGAAATCTTGAAAACAAGAGGCTTAATGTCGTTGTCTTTTCATGCCTTAATAATGGAGTTCCCAGGTGTTCGTTGATTTTGCTGCCACACCATTAATCCTATTTCTGACTATTGACCCCGACAACCACGAGCTTTCTTCTCGATGACTTCGCTCGAAAACCACATTTTGCTAACTGACGTATCACTATTACAATTTACTAATACTGATAGTCACAGCTTTGGTTTCGTTTAGGTTTTCTGTTTCCCTGTTTTGTTCAATATTATCACGGATCAAATTTTATGAGATTGGTATGATCTTCTTCCTTATAATGTAGTGCACGAAACTGAAACTCAAAATTTTGTGTCCTGTTGATCACCTTTCTTTGTGTAGGAAAAAGATCACCTTTGCTTGAGGGCATATACGAGCAACTGATTAAGCAAGTAGATGGAAGAAATATATGGGAAAACCAGAAATTGTCAAATTGTTGGATCAAAGGATAATTATTGTTGCCTGTTAAATTGGTATTTGATGTTCCCTGTTTTGTAGGTGTTAGGGCAGTGTTTGGCCAGTGTTTTGTGCATGTTGCTCAAAATCCACGCAACATATTTCAAGATTCGATCTGATCCTTCGCCCAAAAAGAAATAAGAGAGAAACAACGAAGAGTTAAAAAGAAAACTTACTTCTGTGGCCAAAATTACTCAGGGATTACCAACGTGATTAGATCCAGTAAAATGAGCTAGTTTCTTATAATGTGATAAATTAAGATTCAAATTCTCCCTGAAAGAAGTGCTTACATCTAACACTCGATCATGTCTGAAACAAATTCCATAGGGAAGGAAAAGAAAAAAAGGACTACTCACATATCCTTTTTCAAAACTTGTACTTTGAACCAAAACAACAATCAAAACTTGTAACTCGACATATTCGTATGCTAACTACTCAAGTTGTACAAGTTAATCCCTTCGGCTGAAGCATTAACACGTTACTAATTATAAAATTTGAAAGATTCGTCATATTTTTCATAAGGAATTTGGAGTTTTGGTCACTTCCCATACCCCATTCCGCTTCAATCATCTAGTTTAGATGCCTTCTTTTATGTCAAGTTGAAAAACATCAACGCCATGATTCTGGGTGAAAGCAGGTTATCTACTTCTATTTTAGTGGCTTTCAGCTTGAATTCAAACATCCTACTCAAGTGGCTTTTTCTCGGGTCTTGTTATGGCAACATAAAATTCTGCAGCTCAGCGACATAGCCATTTGTGAATGGGACATATCGAAAACGTGATTGGGGTGCATGCCATTGAAACATCCAACCTTTAGCGGGTAAAACTATCAGGGTTCTGTATGATGCTGATATTTGGCATAAGTAATGGGTATGCTCTCAACACAAGTCTAGAGAAGACAGCTCAGGTTGAGGCCAACAAAACAAAAGGCACACCACCATGTCTCTTGCGCACACCACCATGTCTCTTGCACAAAGGTCTGCTTTGAAGCTGAAAGTTCAGCATCATTCTCTCTTATTGCCCCTTGTTCCATAGCAGTACCATTCATCAAGCTCGGATCAATGGACACACATAGAGGGAGAGAGGTTGACTAAATCTGATAAAATCCTCTCAATGATTGACGAAATAAAATAAATGATATGATTCTTTAATCCTGGAGATAATTACAGAATATATAAAAATAAATATAAAGATAACAAAAACTAAAAAGAGAGAAATTAGGGTTACAAAGTAAATGGGTCCAATGGACGAAGGTCCACTTCCAGCAATTAGTATGAACTCTATAATTTGTGGGTACAAAGATTATGAAGTATGTATGGCATCCAATTGGTGAATGTCACCCGTTTGAGGACATTGACATGCCTCCCATCATAACCAGGAAAAACTTGGAGGAAACAGTTTCAATAGTGCACAATCATATTCTCATATTATAATTATTCACGTCTCACTATCAATACAACAACATCTAAGGCTCAGAATCAAATAATTAAATATTCTTCAAATAAATTTAGCAAGACTAGTTACGATCTATTTTATCTACACTTGATGTGCCTGTTTGGCTAAGATGTAGAATAAGCTCGCATAACCAGTCCTTTGTATTGCATTGTACTTTTCTTCTCTTTTTTGGCTTTCCCCTGTAACCTTCATTCTCCTATTTTTCCTTGGGGCTGATGAACCTTGCTTTATAACGGAGGCAGATTTATAATTTTTCCAAGACAATAACTTACCTATTTTACTCCTAACTGGACGTGCGGTTACTGCTGCTGCCAACCCAATACTCCTTCACAGCAACCAATATCTTCTGAGGAACTAGAGGGCCATCCTCATGATCCACCAATTTGGCATCCCATCTCATTCCTCCAACAATTTTTTTAACCTTGTTCAGGACATCTACTTCATCCCGGATGATGACTGCCCCTTCAGGTCTCAGGATCCGATCCATCTCCAGAAGTATGTCTTCTAGACTGCACCTGCTTAATCAAATCGGAAAGCATTTTATTTCGATACAACAACAATTATTTACTATTTTAATATAAGGGGCGGAGTTCTTCCCCTTTTCGAAAGGGTTGAGATTAATCTTGGATCAAATTGATCATTCCAATTTCGGAACAAAAAAGAAAATCTTGGATGCACATCGAAACTTGTACACTGACTTGCTTTGAGCTCCAAATCAGATCATTATTTACGATTGTGGCAATAAATCACCCCACTAGGGTTGATATTGCAAGACCAAAACTTGAAGAAGGAAGAGAAACTAAAAACGGAATTTTATTTCGGTTGATAGCCCACAAAACATGCAATCTGGAACTATAGAAGTAATTAAAATTAAAAAATTTGGTTATTCCACGTAAAATATTCTTAGAATCCAGCGGCCAAATATGGCTTTTTTCTATTTTTGGGGTTAGATTACAGGGCTAGAATCCTAATATATGACTCATCGCACTCGGGAGTAAGGGAGAGAAACTTACTTGTCCTGGTACAAGCTAAATAAATTATTAGCATGAATAAAATCGTATGTCCTTGGGTAAGTAGAAAAGCCTTCACACCTGCAGAAAGAACAATACAGCAAATCATTAGAATTTCATAGTGTAGGATTTTCTTTCTCCTCTGGGCAGATGAAGAATTACATTACTTGTTAGATCACCTTTAGCAGTGCGAATGAAAAAGAACTGCATTGGCGAAGTCCTCAAAAATCAACTATTACTTAATGCAGGGTTCATACATGAATACTGATCATAAAACTAATAGTTATAATTAAGACTAGTGATGCTAGACAATAACAGGTAGCGGATTTCGGGTGTCAGAAAGACAGTAAGAGCAAGAATATTGTTTTTGTGGGGAGTGAGGGGTAGAGATGAGGACGTTGCAATGGATGTACTGCCACACGAGAAAGACCAGATCGGTAATAATGTACGTGAGAAAAAGTTGATGTGGCATCTATTGAGGAGAAATAATAGAAAATCATTTAAAATGATCTGGACATGTGCAGAGAAAGCGAAAGAAGTAATAGTGAAACAAAGTTGAACAGATGATCTTGGGCCACGTGAAGAGATATGGAGGGAAACCAAGAAAAATAATGGAAGTTATCTATCGGGATCTCTTGAAAAAGGACATACATGAAAAGTTGGTTGTTGATAGAGTTATAATAACATACTGTGACTCATGTAGTCAATCTCACTTGGTGGGATAATACTTTGCTGTTGTTGCAGTATTATTAATCTTATAATTAGTTATAAGTACAAGAAGCCAGCTTGCAAGGAAAGTTTGTAAGGAATACATGCCTTGGATGGTTAAGGAAGAGAGAGAATTCTTCGCTACTTACCAGTCATGATAAATGCCAATAAGACCTCTCTCGTAGATAACACCCAAAGTGTTCTTAGCAACAGTGGGCACAACATTCATCACCCAAGACTTTTGTGATTCAAGTGCAGCTGCAAATCCCCCAAGGCCTGCATTCATATCCATCACATTCCGGTATCGTGTAGTACCAATCAGTTTATTAATTCTTTTGTAAGCATTAACATGCTTTTTCCATATCTTGTTGTCCTCTTGATAGGATTCAGCCGTGATCCCGTTAACAGAGCCCTTAGCTACCCGAGGAGGGACTGCAAAAAGCCTAGCAGGAAATTTCTTCAATTCTCCTCCAGCAACTTCATTTTTATTGATTACCTCAGGGAAAGGGGTTTTGCATGTTTTCATCTCTTTGTACCTATTTTAACAGTCCCCAACCAAAAGAAAAGAAATCAGGGACCCACAATCACAAAAGAGGGGGAGAGAGAACAAGCATCAAATATGAATTATACCAAAATAAAATGGTCACTTTTTCAAAAATTAGAAGAAATTAAACTTATGTTTTCCAACAAAAAATAAATAACACTGAGATAAAAGTTTTGGGAGTATATTCTATAATAAACTGTATTTTTAATAAAAGAAATAAATATTATCTTTCAGGGTATTTATTTAAATATATCTTCAGGAAGGACCAAGTAATTTACTCTTTAATATTTATTTTTTTAAAAAAAAATTCGGATCTTACTGCTGAGATTCGAATGGCCGAACATTCTAGGTACCACTCCAGTGTTGGTCATGTTTTTGGTCGTCACTCTGAAGATAACTAGAGAAACGGTATTAAGACAACTCTCTTTTCTGTTGCTATTATTATTTCCAACCTCAAAATCCACGTCTTGTTCTCTATCAAGTCTAGCTTACTTGGAAAAGTTTCTAAAACTCACTGGGTGCAATGAAGTTATACATTAGTACATGATTACCTAAAAGCAACAATAGTGACATTTAAAAAAAAAAAAAAAAAAAAGGATAGACGGAAAAGTATGAAATCTTAAGCAATTGTTTAAATCCCTTCAACTGTATATAATCATAATGGAAACGGAGTCCAAGTGCAAATGAGCATTGAGAAGAGGAGAATGACTTACCATACATCATCAGCATTATTTGATTTACATAAATTGGACGACTTTCTTTTGCAGGATTCAGCATTTGCTTTTTTCCTCCATATAGCAATATCTCCCTTTTCATACTTCTTTTCCCAACAAAGACTTTCGGCTAACTCCTCAATTTTTCTCTGCTCTGCCTTGAGGTCCTCCTTTGAACGCTGCCAAGTCTGGTAGTATGTTTTCCAATTAATTGGAGGGCCAGATAAAATCCAGTATCCACCAGGCCTTAGGACTCTATCAACTTCCATTAGATACATTCCATCTGTACTCAAGACAAGGGAGTCATTTGATTAATTTTTCCAGAGAAACGCTGCATTTCAATTTGATTTTTTTTTTTTTAGTCAGATTTTTTTCCTCCTCCACTGCTAAATGGAAAACAGCTCTTCAAAGTAGCAGAAGACCTTTGTAGAAATTATAAAAATTGAAAATATGATGTAGGACCCTAACAGGAAGATACCCATCAACTTGTTAGGGAATAGACTATCAACACCAAAGAAGGCTCAAAATTCTATTGATATTTGCAGGGCTAAATTTGGAAGTTCAGGTGTACCATCATCTACAGAAAGAAAATGCTAATAGCAACATTATGTTAATCAAGCTTGATGACCGTTCATTTTAGACTAACCATTAGAAGTCCACGGTATCAGACATCGTGAACACTGGGCCATATCAAAGGCTCTTGAAGGGTAGGGGAGATGGATAGTGCCCAAAACACCAATTACAGCAGGTACACCTCTTTCCAGTGCGAACTGAACTTGTGCTTCATGGTTGTCCTTTGGCGCAAAGGACATGGTTAGCACATTTCTCTTTAGTAAGTAAGCTCCCCAGCTTGCAACCTGTAAAATTTGTTCATGTTTCTATTAGTCTGGCAATAAGGAATCAATTGACAAGTACAAGAAGAAAGTAATATGTCCCACAAAGCACACCAAAGCAAAACGTGGTGTGGCCCAAAACGAAAAAAATCATTTTGTTGACTCAAAATACATATCAAAGGCCTACAAGCAAGAAGCAGGAGAACAACCATTGCCACAAGGATTATGAAATGAAATGAAAATATGTAACACAACAAAAGCCTTTCGGTTGAGAATCTAAATTCAACTCTAGATACCCAAATGCTGGGACTCTGGATTCTCTCAGAAGTGCGCCAATAAAAATAATGAATCACATTCATCCACATGGAGTTCAAATGTTTTAGAAGGCAATAAGCAAATATAATGACAAGAGGAGGTCAAATTCATATATTGAGAAAGAATTAAAAAAAGAGAAAAGCTTGTAGAAGAAATAAAGAAAATGAGTTGGAATGAATTATGAGGAACTTTTAACAAATTCCGAACAAAGAATATGTGTGTGTGTGTGTGTGTATCAGAATCACTATCTGAATTGACATACTCCACAACCAGTGTCCAGAGCTGTTCTGATTGAGCCATCTTTAATAGGAATAACTTTTGCAAGTTCATCAATATATGCATCTGCTCCTTGAGGGAACATGGTTCCTCCACCTGGAAATTTGAACACATTTCCCTGGAACTGCACCCAGTTTTGAACTGCCTTCTCCACTGTCAGACTTTTGTAAGGAACATTGGCATAGTAGGCATAATCACGGCTTTTGGGCCAAGGAAAAGGAGTCGTGTATCCTTCCGGGGCTGGAATAAGGCAGTGTAATTTTTCCTCTTCAGGAGGACAATGCCTTTCCCTATATATCATATTTTCTCTTGGAAATGTCATTGCTCGATCTTGTTCTTGGCAAGGCGTATAATCAGTATATTTGCTATCACATGGCTTGTACACTTTTGCTTTTGGTTCAGAAGATTCAACAATTGCTACGTCATTGTGATGAGATTCAAAACTCAAATTGGGCAAAATAGTGCATTCTGTCAGCTTATTTACTTTCAAGGCCAAGCTGTCTCCCTTTCCAGACCCACTCTTCTGCCATGCTCCCAAAAGATAAAAGAAACAGCAGAGACCAATCACAGCAAATATTGACAATGGTCTTCGTGCTCTGTGGCTTGATATGTTACTTTTTGAACCCATTAATTGGCTCGTTATAACCTATGGCAATGAGCAGTGAAATTAGAGACGACATAGTTACTGATATATAAGTATGTTGTAATGGAGAAACAAAGAAACAAAGAAACGTGCCAAGTTTCTGCTAGTTTTAACTAGCAAGTGACATTTTCTATGCTTAATTACATATTAATACCATATTGACGTCCTAGACCTGAGATGGCATGCATAACGAAACTTAATGGTACAACTTCACTTTCTAATAAAGAGAAGAAAAAATTTACTAGCTTAATTCACTTTCCATCACTAATTATCTTGACACCGACAGTTTGACACCTCAATGTATTTTCAATTCTAAGGCATATATAACAATAATGGTTAATCATTTAACACTACGAGTTTTGTGAGTTCATCCACATACTATTTGGAATAAATTAAAGAAAAATTTAATTCCTTCCCGTCATCGACACATCGAGATATTTTTCTTTTTTACAAATATTAAAATATGAAAATGGACTTTGAACCTAACATATGATTATTGATATTTTGCGGTGAGAAGAGAACTCTGCAAGTAGAAGTTCTCGTAGTCACTAGATCATTGCTTGACCAAGTGACCACGAAATCCAGATAACTACTAGATCTGTGTTTGATCTTAACAGAATCCAGATAGCTTTTTCTACATCTCACTCATTTGTATTAGTATTACATACCACAGAAGCTCCTCCCCAAACTAAAACAAAGGATAGAGCTGGTATTCGCAACCATTTAAAAAAAAAAAAAAGCAACATGCTAACAAAAATACATCGTGAAGCAAAACTTAAGAGGGAACAATATCACAAAGTAATAAGTATTTTGTTTTATTGGATCCAATGAAGATCTACAATGACACTAACTAAAGCATACCAAAATTTAGCTGCTAAGTAGAAATTTTACATTGTAAATGTGAACTCGTGCTGAAATGAACAGCAAGATCACAACAAAAACTGACTTCTTTAAGCCATAGCAATAACGGAAAAGAAGTTCAAACAATGAAAAAAGATCATGTAGCCAGACGAATGCTATGCTTAGCAAGTTCAGTAGAAGAAGAGAAATGACAGAGAATGGAAACGCCAACCTAATGGAGACCGTCTTCAGTATGGCGAAGCTCTTTCTCCTTCTGCTTTCCCTTATAGATCTCTCGCTAACTGGAATCAGTCACGGGAGAGATGGGAACAGGGAGCTCTGCTAAAAGCTGAAGAGAGGGAGAGTATAGAATAGAGATGCAACGGTGGGGATATATTAGAATAATAGAATTTATGTTGAAAAGGAGGAGCGAGGAGCGCAACGAAGGCGTGAAGTGATTGGAGAATTCGGGGACGGCCATTGACGCGTGGATAGCATCCTTGGGCCCACATTTGACACTTTGGCCGACAACAGGAAAGGTAATTCTAGCTTGTGAATCTTGAGTTCTTGATATTTTGTAGCTGATTTAACCGATTTAACTGTTTATATGTGAAACCTGGCTTCACATGATTGTTGTTGATATTCTCAAATAAATTAATTATAATAAATATAACATAATTTTTAAAAACATTTATGTATTATATTTGATTGTACATCAATTGATGAGTTAGGTAAATTAGTTAAAAAAATTATAATAAATACAAAAAACAAAAAAGCTTAAAATTTTATATTTAGAATTAAATTCAACTTTTTAATTAATTTTTATACTAAGCATTCAAGAAGCACTTTGAATTCAAGTATTAGAACTCTAACAAACCAATTAGGGCTATTTAATTACATTTTCATGTGCAGTGGGCATATGTGATATCGGCCTAATAGTCAAACTAAACTATCTGTTAAAATAGCAATAAAGCGCGTTATTAATAAGAAAAATTTTATTTAATCTCTCCTATAGAGATTTAATTTCAAAATACCCTAAAATTTTTTTAAAATGTCACTATACCCTATGAGGGTAAACTGAAATTAAATTCGGAAACTAAAAGACTTAAATGAGCTTGAAGGGAAACAAAAGGAGGAACACTTTATTTGAAAGAGAGAGGTGATCAAGAGGCAGTTAGTGAGAAACCTAAGTCTCCAAACTCAAATTTTAATCATGGCGTTCTCCGAAGGTTTTAGTAATTCCCTTTCCTGCCGATATGAGAGGAAACTGTAGGTATGTACATCAGTCATGGCCACAACTGGCTACCTTGTAACTATATTTATTACTACCCTAAGTTCTAATTATAAGACCCTATTTATAGTTTACAAATACTATTTTATAATTAGGACCAGAGATAGTAGTTCATACTCATCACATGGGATTGGTTATGTGAAAATCATCTATATTGAATAATGGTGTGAAGTATCTGTTCTAGAACTCCTAATTTCCCAGTATATGGGTATTTCTTTTTTTTTTTTTTAATCGCAACTCCATTAACAGTTGCGAACAAAAAAGCCTTTCCTAAAGATCCTCCTATATGATAACATTTTCTTTTGTGAGGATCAGACTCAATCAAATGCTGCGTTGATAGACTAGCTAGTAACCCATTCTTGATTTTTACCATGGCTTCTATTGCTATTAAAACTGCCAAAGCATAACAGCTATCTGCAGCAAAGATGAATATTAGCAAAATTATCATGTTGAAAACACATTTCAACACTGCAATAATTGTTTACATAATTTTTCTTGGTCTTTAACATTTGTTAGTACTCCTCTTTTTTTTTTCTTTTTCCAATCATTGAGAATTTTCTATGAGAGAGAATGGGAGAATAGATAAGAAAAGACAGAGGCAAAAGAATAAAACGAATAGAAAAAATAAAGAATGTCTTGGGGACAAAGTCCCTAAGCCCTCGTAAGATTTGGCTAATTGATTGATGAGTCTCTAGGTTGTCAAATGGGGTGTTACATTTTGGATATCAGAAGCTGGTTGATTTAGTGGCTATTTGTTTTATTGTTTTGGAAAATATTTAAAAAAAGTTTTCATTTTAAAATTCTTAGAAGTCATGGCAATTTAGGAGCACTGAAATCTTGTTTCTCTATGTTGAATTTCAAAAACATGTTTCCAGCCAAAGCTTTGTCCCTTCCTTCAGTTTTGATAATGCATTGAATCCTTGCATTTTCAAGATGACGAAGAAGACATTGTTAACGGATATTATGTACCATGGCATATTTTAATATTCCATTCAATTAATATTCCTCATTTAATTCATATTCACCCTTTATGCAATAAGAAATCTGGTGCTCACTGGTTTTCTCACACACACACATATATATATCAATAAAAAATTGTCCACTGTTTAGAGTGTAGACTCTTTGGGATTTCCTTATAAACGCATAAATTCAAAGATATAGACTCCTTATTTAAAAGATTAAGCATCATGAAATAAGATCCATAAAAGAACAACACCACCACATAATAAAAGTACTCATACGGCAAATGACATGAAAATATATGAATAAGTACCACTATGGCCAAAATAAAACCTTCAATGATCGACTGTTGGGTTGGGAAAATATAAACTCATTTTGATTTAGTTCTTTTCAACCTCCCAACCCTCATAGGCTACCCACTTTTTTTTTAAAAAATTTTTTTTACATGTTTTATTTGAATTTAATAAGAAAAAAATTATTATTTTCATTAAATTTAAATGTAGTTTTGTATTTTTTTTAGAGATTTTAATTCTAAATTTATTTTTTCATTGTCTTTATTGTTTTATGATTTTTATATTATTAAAATAACTATTAAAAATGAATTTTGTGTTTGTATTTTAAGTTTTGAGATTAATTTAATTATACAATTACATGAAAATATAAAATAATGAAAATTAGACTTTAAAAGTTTGTAATTTAATTTAAAAATTAAAAATATATATTAAAAAAGAAAAAATTTTAAAACAAAAAAAAAGAGAGGTTGGTGGGCCAACTCACTTTTAACAGGCTCGTATTGGCTAAATGTTAGCGTATTAAGAAGTGATCTTTTTAGAATCAATCTGTACAGACTCCACCCGTAACATGATGAGTAGGTTCACATTACTAGCTTTAGGAGAAAACTATGAACTCATGGTATTGACTGAATAATACAAAATTATTAGTGAAGGAAAGGCCGAGAGGACTAATACATTCTATCTGTAGAGAGTGACAGCACCTCCACTTATACAGACTTTCTGGGCCGAGGCCCAATACAAGAAAGGATGAGTCTTATACAACATAATAACTAACTCAAATATTAAACAGAATAATAAATCTTCTTAACACTCCCCCTCAAGTTTGGGGGCATACAAGTTCATGGTCCCTAACTTGCTCATAATCCTTTGATGATCTTCCTTGCCCAGCCCTTTTGTAAATATATCAGCTTGCTGCTCTTTGCTTCTCACATGTTGCCGATTTATAACACCTTGCTGCAACTTTTTTCTTACAAAATGACAATCGATTTCTATATGTTTAGTTCTTTCGTGAAAAATTGGATTATTTGCAATATGAATAGCTGACTTGCTATCACAAAATACTTGAACAGGTTCTAATTCGTTTATATTCAAATCTTTCAGTAATCTGGTAATCCAGACTACTTCAGAAACAACACTACCCAGTGCCCTATACTCTGCCTCAGCTGAAGACTTGGAAACTGTATTTTGCTTCTTTGTTTTCCAGGATACCGGAGATCCTCCAAATTTGACAACATAGCCAGTTACAGATCTTCTTGTGTCTGGACATGTTCCCCAATCTGAATCCACATAACATTCTAGCTGAGATTTCTTTGACGCAGTAAGCAAGATCCCAAGTCCTGGTGTTTCTTTGAGATATCTTACTACTCGCATTGCTGCATTCATATGTGATCTTCTCGGGCTATTCATAAACTAACTCAACCCCTATATAGCAAAGCTTATATTAGGTCTAGTAATTGTTAAATATGACAACTTACCTATTAAGCGCCTATAGGAAGTCGGTTCAGGCAGCAGTGGATCATCTTTCTCATTCTTTGGATTGCCACTCAATCTTGTGCTCCTCTCCATTGGAACACTAAGAGGCTTTGCTGCTGTCAAACCCATGTCAGATAAGATATCCAAGGTATATTTTCGCTGATTAAGAATCAGACCCTGTTTGGACCTTGCTACCTCAATCCCCAAAAAATATCTAAGCTGTCCCAAATCTTTGATCTTAAACTTGTTGTGTAGAAACCTCTTAACCTCATTGATTCTCTCAGGCTTGTTGCTAGTTATTACTAGATCATCTACATAAACTAATATCAAGGTAATTTTAGAATCATTTTGCTTTATGAAAAGAGAATAATCATACATGCACTGCCTAAAACCTCCTTCTAAAAGAGCTTCAGTGAGCTTGGCATTCCATTGCCTTGATGCTTGTTTAAGACCATACAAGGATTTGGTCAATTTACATACCTTATTTGGTTTTGTATTGCCAAATCCTTGTGGAATGTTCATGTACACTTCCTCTTTCAAGTCACCTTGAAGAAAGGCATTGTGTACATCCATTTGATATATGTCCCAATCATTCATCACTGTAATGTTAATAATTACTCTAACTGTGACCATTTTAATGACAGGTGAAAAAGTTTCAAAATAATCCACCCCTTCTTGTTGACTATACCCTTTTGCAACTAATCTTGCCTTAAATCTATCCACATTGCCATTAGCATTATATTTCACCTTATAGACCCATTTGCAACCTATGGGTCTTTTCCCTTTTGGCAAATCCACTAGTTCCCATGTACCATTATCTTGGAGGGCCTTTATTTCTGCCTTCATGGCATCAACCCATCTCTGGTCCTTAGCTGCCTCTTCATAATTATATGGCTCGACAATACCATCAATATTTGAAAGCACAGATTTATAATTAAGTGACAGATGTGAATAAGAGAGAAAAGACTGCATAGGGTATTTTACCTGTCTTTTACCTTTGAGATCTAAATTTGGCTGATCAACAACGCATGCATAACCTAGCAAAGACTTGAAAGAAGTGTCAGCAGTACAAGCATAATCTTTCATCCATGTTGGGGGTTTCCTTTCATGAATAGGTCTAGCTATACTTTGATTGTTTTCAACATGAATTTCATTACCATTTTGTTCTACTGAATTCTGGTCTGTATTTACATCATCTTGCCCAATTTGTATTGGAGGAAAGGATTCAGTCTCATACCTATGATAGTTATGTCTAAAAAGATCAATCATGATATTAGCGTCTCCCCCTTGATTGATACGTATGTTATCTTTAAAGGGAAATTTTGTTTCGTCAAAGATCACATGTCTACTAATGAGTATATTTCTAGTCTGAATATTGTACAGAATGTAACCTTTTTGAGACCTTGGATAACCAAGAAAAACACAAGGGTAGGATCTATGTTGAAATTTATCTTGTGCTTGTAAGTTAGTGGCAAAGGCCAAACATCCAAAAACTTTCAAGGAGGACAGATCTGGTTGGTGCCCATAAATCATTTCGAAAGGTGTTTTATATCCTAAAACAGTAGAAGGAGTTCTATTGATAAGGTAAGTGGCAGTTTTTATTGCTTCCCCCCAGAATTTTAAAGGTGTAGCAGATTGAAAACCCAAACTTCTAGCCACATTTAAAAGATGCCTATGCTTACGTTCTACTATCTCATTTTGTTGAGGTGTATAAGGACAAGTAGTCTCATGAATAATCCCTTTATTGGTATTGGTCTAAGTAATAAGCGGCTTGGTACCATTTAAACGAGGTCTCGAGTTCGAGCCTCAACATATGCAGAAATCCCTGTTGGGAGATCCACCCATCACAGTCAAGTGCGCGATGTGGGTCGGATCCAGATGTAATCGGAGCAAAACTCCGGTGAATTAGGTGGGTAAAAAGAAAAAAGAAAAAAAGAAACAATTCCAAAAAGTTTTAGTCACTTAATGAGTTATCATCATCTCTAGCTGTATAGCTGATTGCAACCTACTAATCCCTATCACAACTTCTATATACTATACAAAAGATTAATAGATTAAATATAATTAGAAACGAGATAGGCATACCTAAAATCTTTATACCAACAAAATCGAAGTGCTTGGACTGATCCCTATCAATTCTATAATCGTTGGAGGAACTCTAGTTAGCTTGCAATTATACCCATAAATCCATTGATCTTTGCTAATCTTTAACAACTCCTGTGCAGCCGCTTCCACCATCCTTAAGCATAGAGCCATCAACCTCTACCCTGACAGAACCTACAAGAATAAAAGGAACGTTTGCCTCGTTTGAAGGAGGAGGATGGCTGTGTATGGTGCTCCTTCTTGGAAAGTCCTAATCTGCAACAACTTAGACAAACTAGAGTGGGGATTAAAACGATCCAAAACAATTGTCTGTACCAAAGAGCTTATTACATCTAAAAATCCAAATATCCCGACAAATATAATATACGTCCACTTTAGTTATCACTCCCAAACAAGAAAATAATAGTTAAATAAAATTTATATTATTTAATATGTAAAAAATATATATTTTATAAATGTATACTTAACAAAGCCAATATTACAATAATTTTTTTGCCTAACAATATTACATTCGTTAGATGAATTAGTTATTTATAATATTATTGAAAGATAAAATAAATTAAATATTAAATACCCTAAATAGTATTGAAGAAAATTTATATTTTTTACTGACAAAAATTTAGAAAAAAGACAAAAATTACTTATATTCCTACATATTTTTAGTTATTCGTGTGATATTAACATATGGTGAGGCAAATTTCACCCCATTAGTCGCAAGAAATGAGTTAATTAGTAAGGGGAAAATATGATTTCAAGTACTTATGCTGTAATCACGTTTTATTTATGGTTTTTGTAGTTTATTTTTGTAGTTTTTCATTTCTTCTATTTTCTCCCTTTGAAAAATTAGTCTTTTTATTTGGCTAAAGAATACGTTTTCCCCTCTAAGTTATATTAAGTTTTAGTTTATTCTCTTAAGTTTAAAACACGTACTTTTGACCCTTTAATCTTAACATCATTAGTTTAATTTAATGAAAAATACTGACTCAACAAATTTCAATAGTGATTTTGCCATGAAATGCTGATAAAATATATTTAAGATTTAAAAGGGTTAAGGTATAATTTTAACAATAAAATTTATCCTAAGAAGCACTAGACACCATAAAGTTTATTTAGATGTAAAAATATGCATGAAGTTGTCAAAATAGGGCATTTGATACTATATTGATAACATCGTTGCTTTACTGTTAGTGGGACCTACGAAATCAGCTTGAATGTGTAGTTTTAAACTTTTAATAACAAATTTTACATTAATGGGTACTAAACACTATAAAATTTGCTTGAGTTAAAAAATATATATACAAACTTTCTAGAATGAAGAAAAAATAATAAAATTTATCAACTCTCATGAATGTCTATTAACTTTATTCTTTTGAGTCCTACCAAATGTCACCTTTTCTCCATCCATTCCCACTTATAGCAAATTATAAAAATGAAAAACAGAACACAATTAGAATAGAGAGATTTCAGGTGCAATTTTTTTTTCCTAGTACATATCTACATAGCTTATGACTGAATTACTGAAATAACAAATGAGCGTGCGCCATGCCCCATAGACCGAGGTCATTATTTCCCCGTTGCCTTGCCCAAGACGAACGTCTACTTTTGAGTTTTGATTCTCTCTCTCTCTCTCTCTCTGTGGGATCTGATGCATTCGATTATGATTGAAAAAACTGGGAAGTTGTATGAACATAGATTTAGATATATGAGCTTATAATCAATTTCATTTGCCCAAGTTATAGATAAACTTTTGATTTTGCTATTTTCTCTAAAGTGCTGCACATTTTCTCCAACAATAGGAAGCAAAATAATTCAGAATTATGGATATTTAAGAGAGGAGCATAACATGCCGTATTTTGAACTTGAATCCTTGCTGTTACTAAACATATGCATTAAAACTTGTTTTTGTTGTATTAAAAAAATCATACCCCCTTAATATAAGAGTTAGTTTGAGTAGATTAAGAAAGTTTGTTAAGTTAGTTATTTATAATAAATAGATGTTATCTTTCCTAAAAAATCCTTACTAATCAAGTGTATTAGATTTAACATTTAATGAAACATTTCATATATGTAACAATTAAAAAGATTATCCTTAAAAATAAATAAATAAATATGAGATCACTGTAATGTTTTTTTGTGCGGTACTCTATCTAACTTTTGTTATAAATATTTGATACTAATTTAAATAAATTAATAGAATTAGTTAAAATTAGTAACAAATTTTTTTAATCTACTCAAATTAGTCAACTAACTCTTATTAATAAGTATATTAAAATAGGGCGTTGTCCACCCGTCCTGTCCTAAGATGAGAATCAGGCAATGAACCCAATAAAACGATTAAAATCTCATCAAGGATTGAGATCACTGTAATGTTTTTTTGTGTGGTACTCTATCTAACTTTTGCTATAAATATTTAATACTAATTTTACATAAATTAATATAATTAGTTAAAAAAAATTTACAAAATTTTTACAACCAACTAGGAATATTAAGTAAAGATTATTAGTATTTTAAACGAAATGTGTTATATTATGAAACACCATGGAAATCTTTCTCATGAGAACTTTGAGGGAGTACCATTTACGAGTGGAGAATGAAACTTTTACTTACATTCTAAGGGAATAATCGTACATCAAACTACAAGTTTTCTTGTTTTTTTTTTATTTTATTTTTTATCTTACATCAATTCTTTGTTAAAATTTTATAACTTCACTTTTCCAATGTTTTAAATCAAATTCATTCAGACTTGCCTTTTCTCCCCTCTCCTCCATTTCCCCTCATACCAAGCATAGAGAGAGGGATTGCGTGGCGGCTTCTTTATGTTATCCAAAAATAGAATGAAAAGATAATATCGTGAGTAACAGGAGAAACGATTGGAAACCAGGGATCACGTAAAAGTCATTTATTAATATTAAACGCAAGTTTCAATCAAGGAAAGACGTTTAAATTAAAGAAAACCCAATGCTTGCCGACATAGCAAGTCCTGTCCTGATCTGGTTACACATGCCATAAAATACTGCCTCCCCAGTCACGTCATTTTTTCCTCTGACTTCGCTTGAGTCATGGCGATCACCATCGTATTAGTTATTGAGAAGTCTTCGGAACAACGCAATCTCCGGATTTGGGCTCGAAATCTCTAAGCCCATCAAATCAACCATTTATGTACAATGTGTAACGATGCAACAACCATGCGTCTTTAATCTTGGCTGAAATGGACGCAAGTTTGTGAATTACTGGGACCTATTTTGACTTGCCAAAAAAGGGCAGTAATCATATACATCTATATCTATGCTTAACACACAATACACTAATTCTAAGAAGGGACATTCTTTCTTGAGCCAAGAAAGATGAACAAACAGTAATTTAATATATGGACACCACACTACTGCTTCTCCATTAGACAGAAGATCTACTGGTCTCGAGGACTTGTCCGCGGTAAGCACATCCCCGAGTTTAGACATGTCCAACGGATCTACAACTTGCACGCTGTAAAACTGCAGAAACAATGAAGCGAAAAAAGATAAATAATCTTCAATACATGGTGCTACTGCACATTTTATGTCCAGTTCCAAGAGAAATATGCAACAACTATGGCACTTTCCAGGCCCTGGACCATTATCATTTCCATGCTACCAGGACCAAGGTAAAACCAGCATATAGTTAACTAATCATAAGTTTGGGGTGACCTGCTGCGTGCAGGCTTTGAAATTGCATGGTTACATATGAATTCTAACTGAATTTACATGGTCACAAAAGAGTGTAACTATACTCTTTCTTAAAGATAAGGAAGTACGTGTAAGGAGACAACATAACATTTTGAGAATCTGCAAGCACCAAAAGTCATAGGGGTTAAGCATGCCTGTATGACAACCAAATGCGTTCAGAATACTGAATAGAGGAACTAAAGCTACGGGTGGATGAGGAGAAAACATAAATGAAATGCGCTGATATTGATAAGCGTCAAAAGCAGGGGAAAATGCACATGATTGCCACATATGCCCCTTGGTGCTGTAAAGTGTAAACATAAACGAAGATTCTGAACCTAGCATCCATAAAACATTAAAGAAATCAATCAAGGGAATCAACCAGGGGAGAATTAAAGGCTTGCACATGGATGAAATCACCAGAGAGCATAGCTTACCCATCTATCTCTATATAACCAAGGTAGCACTTGCCTTCGGCTGATACACAAGTTGTTTCAGCCAACATAGTAGAAACTAAAGTCGTTATTTAAAGATCTTGTGTCAAAATAGTAGTTCCTTAGGCTCTGCATCAATTTATCACCACAACAAATCATTTCAACTACATCAAGAACCTAGTAAAATTAAATCATATGCTAAAAACAACACTAACCAGTCTTTGGAACGGAATGTTGTTGATAACTTAGGTCTGCACCTTCACTGACCTCCATTTTGCTTGCATCTATTTTTCTCTTTATCTTTGAGGAGCTTAGGGAGCCTTCAACTATAAAGCATAGAGGAAAAAGTACAATCAGTGATACTCAAGAAAAATATTTGTATGTGCTGAAATGATCTGTAGATGTGGCTTGCACGTGCATCAAAACGTTAGACACATCAATTACGACCTCAGAAGCCACGGATAGTTTAACAGACAAATCTAGATTGTCCTTCGGCCGTCAGAAAAACAATACCAGATTATCAGTGGAATAAATTGATCCTTATGATGGAAGGACATCATGTCTATCAGGTTTAAGCAGATCTAACCACAATTATATTGTTTGTGATTTGAATTATGAGAGCAATTTAGTGAAAATCCCTCAATTATGATATTTTATTTAAAATATATTGACTACTCAAAAGTTCAACGTAACAGGTAAGTACCTTGCCATTCCCATACCACTTTGGATTCGCCCTTCACCAGCTTTGGATAGCGATCTACTCGAGAATCTTCTTGAACCAACTCTTCAACCTGTGATGCAAAGCAAAGTTATTAAGAAAAACTTAAACGATCATTCAATGAGTTAGTAGTAAAGATTCACTGACATGTTCATCTTATTAAACTTTAATTAAAGGTCAACAGTTATTGGATGGCTCCAATGTAGCCATGAACATCAGCTCTTCAAATATTTAAGTTCAAACTTGACCAGACATGTTGTTTTAAACATTTGTATCTTTAATCAATTAACAAGCTCAATGACAAAAGACCGAAAACCCCAACTCTGGAATTCTTTAAAGGGATATACCACAACAAAGCATGTCTCTATCTTGGTGGAAGCCTCATGATTGAAAGAAATATGATTGTCTAATTGAATATTAATAATAACATGGAGAGGAGCAGGAAAAATTTGAAAAAATAGGCTGTCAGTACAAAGAAAAAATTATATCTAAATAACAACGTGTGGGGAAACTTCTGCAACAGAAAAACTTGAATACAAAGTATATATATACCCACACAGGTTGCTTCAATATGCTAATATCAATTATTGGGATGACAACAGAATAATCAAGTGCGGCTCAGTCCATTATAACTAAGTACCTTTTTCCATAACAAAGGGTCCTTCCGCTCTCTTGGCAAAAGTAGGTGATCTCGTAATCTAGAGGCAACAACCCAAGGCTCACATTCGCCATTAACATTCTTTGACATCAATGCATTCTCTTCAAGTATATCACAGACCTATTTCATCAGCAACAAAGGACTGTTGTTTTTTATGGAGTATTGAAGCAAATACAAGAGTAGAATCAGAATGAAGTCACAATTAATCAGACATACAACAGCAGGCACGAAGAGCTGTCATAAGTGCAATTTAAAGGAGTAAAAAACACACAAATATTTTTTCCTCTTTTTGATAAAACTGAATGTTAAATTTATTTGCCATCTAATCTATTGTCCCATTGCACCACTGGAGTTCTCGTTTCTTATGTAATGCAGACTTCAAATTGCACAAAGTACGGACATTTGAAAAAAAAAGAAAAGAAAAGGAAAGGACACTTTTACATTTATAAAATACAGAAGTATAAAGCATATCCAATAACATCAGGCACGGTTATCCAGTTAATGTGCTTTGAAACAATTTCAACGAAGGGATATGCTCACCATACAAACATAGCCTGGCAATATGTATTTATTCATAAAGTATGTCATGGCCATTCATCATTCATTCACTATCCATAATAAATATCTTTCAGAACCAGTATATTACTCAAAGCGATCTATCTAACAACTCTATTTAACTGACGGAAAATGTTTGATAAAATATCATCCAAGGAATCAGATTAAATAAACAACAATGTTCAGCCATACCTGGTTGTAAAGCTCTTCAACTCTTCTTGACATGCGTATCTTCCAATGGATTTTCCAGACGAAGAATGTGCATCCAACAAGCTGTTTGATCCCAATACAGTCAATAAGTCTAATCATATTAACAATGGAACATATACATTAAAGAATGTCTTCAAGACTGGAGTACCATGGCACAAATCGGCAAAAAAACTAGAATGTGCTGTGAGACCCACTGATGAATGCGACAAGTATATGGCTTGAAATGCTCCACCAATAAGTCTGGACATTTAAACTCCTTCATCCTATATGAGACAGAAGGATATCAAATATCCGAAGTATTAGGAAACATATGTCAAAAAGCAAAAGTCACTAAACCATGATCCTTGGAGGTTGGTAAGAAAATATGATATACCCAAGAGAATTTTTCCTTGTCTCCATTAATTTAGCCATTGTCTCAATTGCCCTTTGTTTTGTATAATTATAAAGTGCATTATCCAGAAGAACATTTTCCATAAGCTCAAAATTACCAAAGCGATTCCATATTTCATCCTCTTCAACCTGCAAAGGGTTTACAAACAAGAAACCAGAACCATCAATGTGAGTCAAACTGCATTAGCATTAGAGAATGAAATTGATAGGGATACAAATACACCGCACAATCAGAGGGTTAAAAGTGTCAACAGACCCAGACTGATCCGATTCCATAGCACAAATATTGAGCATAATCTTCACATAGGCTACATTCTACTTTCTCTGACTGTGATAACATCATAGAAAAGAACAGCAAGTCAGAGTGATAGGCATAAAATTCAAAGACAAAAGGTGGAAAAGAAGGCTGCCCTCATTACTCAGTATTAGTAAAGCAGAATAAATAAAGCTCAAGGAACACACAATTTTTTTAGCTGATCTGTTAATATCTCCATCTTCTACACACAACTTCCCATGCTTTCGGTAACCCTGGAGACACTCCAATTTGCCATCATGACATGCTCCATTACTTGGGCAAGGCTCACAATCATCTGCGACAATCTCGAGTCAAAAGAAATTAATGCCTACACGGGAAACAAATATTAAACCCACAACTATACCTTGAGCCTATGAAATTTTAACATTATAAAGCAGTCAATACACTCAAGAGAAAACCATTGAGGTAACATGAAGAGTTAAAAAAACTCCCTGAGGTGCTTGCAAAGGCATCTATGTTGGACCAAAATGAGTGAAACAACAATATAATGGTCAAAATTCCAAAAATCAACATGTATTAAATGGAACACAGACACATGATTGTGTGCAATTTTTATTCAAAGAAGGAGAAAACAGGTCAGTTATTTATTTTGACAAGTGATAGATTTTGTTAGGGATGACATTTAAGTGTATTCAATCACTGATTAATAGGAAAAAATATAACCAAAAAAAAAAAAAAAGAGTTTCAAAGACAAAAGGATCATGTGCAATTCATTGTACACTACATAAAGTTATAGTTATATTAAGACGTCTCAAACTCACTCAGATTAGAGCTGTAGCATCAAGTGTGGCGATTTGGCCTGTTGACTAGTAAATAGCAATTATTTTAAGTAAAGTAACCTAGCCACCGTTTTTCCAAGATTGAAAGCCAAACCCAATACCTATTGTTGTGTGCAATTAATCCGTTTTTCCAAGATTGAAAGCCAAACCCAATACCTATTGTTGTGTGCAATTAATCAAGCCTAGGTATTTTTCATATCAAAATTATGAAGGATGGGAACTTACAGAAAGGGTGGGAACTTACAGAATGCGCGTGTGCAGATGTATTAGACACTGATACTTCAAATTACATATGCAAGCAAGTCCCCATGGTGTCAGTGTCTATTTTTCCGGTATCAAAGTTTGCGGCCCAACAACACTTAGATTCATACCATACGATAAGAAATATTATCTTACGCTAGAAAGAATCAGATGAGGGCAACGCACCTCAAAATGCAGGTGCCCACTAAGCCATGAAGACATTGATTTTATCACGAAAGAGGAAAATCATCATTCTAAATTTTTCTAGATAGAAGCTAAATAAGTCTACGAATTAAGCACAGAAGTGAGCTCTAGAGCTATCGAAGTAATGCAATGAAAGTCAGTAGTATTACCCCTTTCCTATTCATGATCCACTATGTACCTATTAAACAGTCATGCTAAGAAAATAATTTCATTAGAAGAAGCTCTCACCGGAAAACGTATCCGGAAACTCTACGTTGCTATCGCAAAATGGCTTAGTTGGGGAATCAACAACAGACGTGAAGAAGAGACTGCAGGTCCAAGCAACTGCTGATGCGAATGTAACGACGACGATGAGCCTGAGGAACTCGTGCTTCGAGGGAAAGAAGTTAGCAGGGGGTTCCATGAACGATTTCAAAGAAGAAGAAGAATTGTGATGGTGATTTGAAGTTTTGGCATTGGACTTGAGTTTTGCGCGCTTCATTTGAGAGGTCCGGTCGAGCGGGATGCTCAGACCGCCCTTTTACGGCATCCTCGCCTGCAATTATTTTGCCTTCGCCTAAAAACGACTGGAATATGTTTCAAAAGTGAGAAGTATTTACACACACGTATCCGCATAACTAATCTATAAATATTAAAAAAAATAATAATAAATTTTTTAAATTTTGAAATTTCAAAATAAGAATGACTATAAAAATATGCTGTTATTTTTTTGTAATAAACAAAAGGGAAAATGACGTATAAAGAAACCTGAAATTATAAAATGCCAAAATAGGAAGCTAAGCAAATGTACTACCAGATAGGAAAGTGTTGCCTGATTTGGGATTATGCAAATGTTGAGCAATTACTAAAAAACCCTTTTGGCAGTCACAGTTTGAAAGCAGAGAGAGAGAGGCGCGAACTGTCGCTCGTGTTTCCTGGTTTCTCGCTTCCACCATCTCTGTTTCTGCCCTAAAAATGCTGGCAAGTTGGATAATTGATGACCCCGAAATAGTGTGCGCGTAAGACAGCAGAGGAGTTCGAAGTGGAAGGGTGTGCTGTTTGAAGGGCGAACGTGGTCGCGTCGGTGTGATTGTGTGGAAGGACAAAGGGTGGCGCGCGGTGATTCACCATTAGAGCTGGGAATCAGGGCCGGCCCTTCAGGGCTGGCGGGCTTAAAAGGGCCGGCCCTCCAGGGCTGAAATTTCAAAAATACCCCGATTTGCTAGGCCCGGCCCTTAAGCTACAGGGCTCAAGGCCGGCCCGCAGGCTTTTGACCCGTTTAAGAAAAAATGTTATTTTTATATTTATCATTTTTTATAAAAAATAAAAATAAACCAATGAAATTATTAATAAAAGACATAAATATGAATAAAATTAAATAAAAAATATAAAATATCCTCATATATAAATATCCATCAACATCCAAGAACATCTAAAACATTTATTAACAAGATAACAACATCCAAAAGTTTTATCTATAGTACAATTGTATAATAAATAAACACTATTATTAATCTTTTGAAACTTCATCATCACTATAATTAATTACTCTTCTTCATAAGTATGCTTTTCTTTCATAATAAAAATATCAAGTTTTTCTTCTTTATAGGAATTTTACTTTTAAATTTTTCAATCTAGATATTATTTTACTTTAATGTGAGAAATATTGTTGTTGAAACTCATGAATTTCTAATTCAAATTATAGAATACATGTTATATAAGTATAAAAATACTCTATTATCAAATATATATATAGTTTAAAAATATCAATACATATAATATAAATCAAATCATTATTAAAGTCCAAATTAACCCATTTTTAAAAAATTTAATTGGATAAATTATTGTCTAAAACTAAATTTAATTTTAAAATGATAATAATAACTAAATATTTGAAATATTATTAACAATGTAAAAAATTAATAACATTAGAATTATATAAAAAAATTTACAAAACAAAAAAAATTATAAAAAGGCTTAAACGGGCCAGCCCGCAGCCCTCCAGGGCCGGCCCTTTTAAGCCCTCGGCCCTCCAGGGCTTATTTCCCGTTTGAAGGGAAAAACATCAAACCCGGCCCTCATAATTTTAGGGCCTAAACGGGCCGGCCTGACGGGCTCGGCCTGTTTTCCTAGCTCTATTCACCATTGCAGTTAACAAGCATCAACGGCATTTCACTGAGATAAGTTTAGGCATTTAAGTTTCGTGCTGTGGTCGACGTTTCTGGGTGAGTGGTGGAAGAAATGATTAGGCAATATTTAGATATGACGTGATGAAGTTTGTGAATGACAGGAATGGTGATTAAGGGTTTATGCTGAGTCTGTGTGGCATGCTAATTGTTTACTATAACAAAGTTGAGAACTGTGAGGTTAGGGAAAAATGGGTTTCCAAATCAGTGGGAAAATTATCTGATTGAGTGGAAAGATTATATGAAAGAACTGGAAATGACAATAACATACTGGTAAATGACAATGAAGGAACCTGAAATGACCATATGCATAGTAATGACCTTGCTATCTGATTGACCAGAAAGATTATCTGAACGAAGTGGAAATGACAGTAACATACTGGTAAATGACTATGGAGGAACATGAAATGACCATATTCTCAGTAATGACCCTACTGTCTGATTGACTGGAAAGATTATATGAACAAACTAGAAATGACAATAACATACTGGTAAATGACAATGAATTAATTGGAAACGACCATATGCATAGTAATGACCTTACCGTCAGTCTGTAATGGTCATATTAGTAATGAAAATAAATTAATTGGAAACGACCATATTCATAGTAGCATCCTTATTGTCAGTCTGTAATAGCCATATTGTAAATGACAATGAAGGAACTGGAAATGACCATAACATACCTGGAAAGAACTAGATATTTAGTATTTGTATAACAATTATGACTTAATGATCGTACATTGATGACTTTGCAGAACTATACGAGATGGTGTTGGAAGAAGGGGAAGGGTCCAAAAGCAAATGAGTCTATAGTGGGCTTGTGTTGTTCAGAAGGGAGTATATGGCAAAACGAGGGGAAAAGTGTAAAAACGCAAGAGAAGAAAAAATTGAAGTGGGGAAGGCATGGAGGGCCTTGAGTGAAGAAGAGAAAGACATGTATAATGAGAGGGCAAACAAAACGAAGCCAGAGAAAGGTGAGAAGAAGAAGTATGATGTTCCCTTGTACACCCGGTGCTCATTGTCTGGATTTCTATCATTGGCTGAGTATGTGAAGAAGAACAGGCTGTTAAGGCAGAAAGTTGAGAGGATGGGATTTGGGAACTTGCTTAATGTGAATGTGAAGCAACTTCCACGTGATCTACTTGTGTCATTGTTGAGATGCTATGACCCACCAACACATTTTTTGACCATTAGGGGGCAAGGGCAGGCAATTGAGGCAAAAGATGCTCATGAGTTTCTAGGTGTACCTGACAGTGGGGAGGAAGTGAAATCTGATGTTAGTGAGGATGACCCGGAATACAAGAGGTTAAAGGACACTTATTGGAAGGTTCCATTTACCCAGATACTGAAGAGGATATTATCTGGGAAAGAAAGCGACAATTTTGAGTTCCTATTTATGCTTTATACAGTTGGAGTTTTTTTATGTCCTGGGCCAAGCACAACTGTGCATATACGTTTGTTGAAAGTGATGCGTCACATGATGGATTGGTTTAGGAAATATGATTGGTCAACATATATAATCAAGAACCTGTGGAAGGAAATGGGAGACTTTGTGGAGATGATAAAGAAGAAGAAGAAAGGAACCTACAATGTTGGAGGGTGTCTTTATTTGCTACTGGTAAGTCAATATTTTTCTTATGGTTCATTATATTTTTGTTTTATGTTATTGTTGTAGAAGTGTGACCTATCTTTATTTGGTTTTGCAGCTGTATTTTGTTGAGCGTTTCTCGCTGGGATTGTCTGTTGACCGGGGTTCAACAAGCCCCATTGAATATTGGACTGAGGAGAAGATAAAGGGGAGGGTGGAGAAAGAGAGAGGTAGCAACATGGGAATATTGCATGGAAGTAGTGGCAGCGAGGTTTACTCAGCAGGACATGAGGACAGTCCAATTCTGCAGTCTTTAGATCTGGTATGTGGGAATTTAGAAAATATACGTGACCTAAGTTTAAGTAAGTCTATTAGCAAGGTTGATACTTGAGATGACAAGACTTTATTTACAAATGACTAGTGAGATACTGGCATTTGATAATAGTGATCAATTTTTTTGATATCTTCATTTACTGTGTATGCAGGCGTTGAAGGAGTTGAGTGCTCGTTTTGTTAAGAAGCTTGAAGAAAGCTAGAGGACGTTAATGAAGGCTCTTGATGATGAGCTACTCAAACTGCTGATTGGATTGAATGCCAAAGTTAAGGGGATGGGGAATGAGAATGCCACTACTAAAGAAGGGGTTGAAACAATTGGTGATGCAGGTGGTAACAATCTGAAGAAGCTAATGATGTTGACCGAGTGGTGGAGGAGATTGCAAGAGAGGTTGCAGCGGGAAGCGGAGATGATGAACTTGATGAGGATGAAACCAGCAAAGGAGATGATGAGAAGGATGAGGATGAGGATGAAGAAGAACATGACCTTCATGACAGGGAAGTCAGTGATGATTACATGGTTGAGGAGGTGGAAGATAAGGGTAACCGTCATGGTCATGGAGGTGATGACGACGACGATGAGGATGAGGAGGAAGATGACCATGATGACAGGGAAGGAGGTCATGTGGTTGATGAGGAGGAAGATGACCATGATGACATGGAAGTCAGTCATGATTATGTGGTTGAAGAGGAGGAAGATGATGATAAGGAGGTTCGGGATTCAGATGATGAGGGTGAGGAAGATACACCTGTACTAACAATGACCCCTACCAATTTTCCTTTGTTATTGGATCGTGAATGGGTGAGTAGTGACAGTGGGGAGGAAGGAGGGCCTGAAAAATCGACTAAGCTTAGGAGGTCAACAAGGGCAAAGAGTTCCACAATTAAATCTCCGTGGATGGAATTCAAGGCAGCTCCGAGGACAAAGACGCCAAAGGAGAAAAGGGACATTTTTTTCACTTTAATATCTCGTAGACCCAAGGGAGAGGAAGAGGGGAAGATATAAGTATATCCTGGCTAGTCTTTTGTTTTTAAATGACACAGTGTGCCCTGACAATGACAGCAATAGAATTGAAAATGACAATAAAATACATGGGAATGACAAGTGATGATGTCCCCAACACCATACTTTCTGTCACTGACATCTAACAATGTTTTCAGGACTGTCATCAAAATGTTTGATGAAGATATAGACCGACAACAGCTGTTTTCCCTGGGTGGAGTGAACAGAGTAAATAACAAGGTATTTTAGAATGCTCTGTCCCTGCACCCATGATTATGTTTGATAATGTTTCTTGACATCATTGTATCATAATGACGTTTTCACTTGTCTTCTGTAGGTGCTTAATTTGGTGTGCAAGGCAGAGATGGAGGACATGAAGGCAGAGTTGGGGCCAGGAAAGAGGCACATTTTCAATGTGGATTTCATGGTGAGGTTGCATAATTTCGAGTGCAAATACCAATGACAGCAATTGAATTGGAAATGACTTGTTCTCTGTTAATGGATTAACAATTTCATGTCATGCAGAACATGATGGCACATGATCCAACTTGGAAAGCCCAAAAATATAAGAAGCTCTTTCTTCCTAAGTTCTTTGGCTACAACTTAGCTGAATGTGATTTCATAATTAGTCCGGCTCTTGTTGGCCAACACTGATTTTGCGTTGCCATTTAGCCTAGCACATTGGATTTCCACATATTAGACTCTATGAGTGACCATTTCAGAACTAAAGACAGAAAGAAGAAGAAGAAGGTTGTCATCAAAGACCCAGTGGAAATGGCTGTGGATAACTGTGTAAGAAAAACTCATTATCTTTACCCTAGTTTTTGAACTTGTAAATCATTAAACTTTCTATGTTGGTCCTGAATCTTTTTACAGAGGATGAGGTTCAATATTATACTGGACTTGGTCAAGCCAGGATTGGTTGGGAAAAAGCCAATGTCTCCCATGATATTTGCAAAAGTTTCCCAGCAGAATAACTTGTCAGTTTTGTCAAATTCGAATTCTGTGTGGTAAATGCACATGTCAAATGTGTTAACTAACTGTGTTGATATTGTTGTGTCCACAGGAGGGATTGTGGGGTGCACTACATGATGTGGTTGAGAAGATGGGAACCTGGTGTGACCCTTACCTACACAGAGGAAGAAATTACTGGCTTTCGTCGTGACCTGACATGGTGGTTGGTGAATCATGAACTGAATGAAAAACGTGACGAGGCATTGGCTCTTATTCAACAACCACAACCAACCAAGAGCACAAAGTCCAAGAAAAGGTGTCGTTCTTAGGTGTCTTGATGTTAGGCTCATAATTCACTTGTCCTCTGTTAGATTGCTGTATGTAATGTGCATTGTAGGCTGACCAAAAATTTACTGTGTATTCTTATGGTTAACAGAGATTGGTGTCCATAAATTTATGATTGTTGAGATCCATGATGCTAATTTATTCCCCAGTGGCATGAATGAATTTGAGTTTAACCACACCAAAATAAATGATGACAACAATCCCCATCAAACATGTGCTATTGGTTTCCATTTTTTGTTCAAGTGACTCAATTTTACTTTAATATATCCTGTTGGTATCCAACAAAAAATGACACCAAGTGAAGTGAATATAACTACGATAATGATAAGGATAATATGATCGGATTATAAACATCAGTTTAAGATCAACTGTCAGCTTATGCTGATAGCATCACTGCTAATGACCAGAACAAATTTAAAAATTACAACAAGTGATCCAATATGACAACGATAATGATAAGGATAACCTGATCTGATTATATAACATCAGTTTAAGATCAACTGTCAGTTTATGCTGATAGCATCACTGCCAATGACCAGAACAAATTTAAAAATGACAACAAGTGATCCGAATATGACAACGATAATGATAAGGATAACCTGATTTGATTATATAACATCAGTTTAACATCAACTGTCAGCTTATGCTGATAGCATCACTGCCAATGACTAGAAGTGGATATTAAGATACTAGCCACACTCAATGTATTCAACGAAAAGTGGATATTAAGATACTAGCCACACTTAATGCTCCCTTATCACTGAAATTTCTATCACCTTACTTATAAAAAAATGTCTCCACCTAGCTCCTAACTACAACCCCAGTCCTAAAAAAGTTGACAAGGGTGGAGCATACAACTATGTACACCAAAAAATGACCTCTCCCCACTGTACTCGAAACTTCATGATGGGTTAGGATTTCTGCAATTCCTCCTTGTGTGTCTAAGTTGGTGGCATCTTCCACATTGATATATCCGTTTGTTCTGGAACTGTGATTCATCCCTGTTTACTTTTGGCCTTCCTGGTGGTCGAGATGTAATGGGAGGTAGCAAGAAAACTTGCTCACTGACATTTTCTATTCTATAGTAGTCATTTGGGTGAGGCATGTCCGTTGTTACCACAGGAATCATACTGCGAGCATAAATCTTTTCTTGTGATGACTTTTTATAGCAATTATCAACATAATCATAAACATTACCGTGCACAATCTTGATGGCAGCACAATCATGGGAACAAGGGATCCCCATCATTTTGCCAAGATCTGCAACGGCATTGGTGTAGTCCAAGATCAACCCGATGGTCTCCACGTGATGTTGTCACCTTCACTCTTCTCCTACCATAATTTTCAGCATACATATGGTCAGACCCAGCCACCATATCCAATACCTTACTCTCTATATTTGGACCAATGCAATTCTTCCATTTGGTCATAGCCACATAGGAGGCATGTAGCTTTCTTGCAACTTTATCTCAGTGCCCATAGATCAATTGGAGTATAGTATGCTTTCTTTCATTGACCATCCATGCATTGAATGATTCTGCTATATTACTTGTAATATTGTCCCATCTTTTATATGGGAACCTGCTTTTAGCCCACCTATCTACATCCCCATGACGAATAAGCCAATCAAATAGCCTTAAAGAAAAGGATCTCATGTCATCTATTGCCGCTTCAAATTTCTCATCCGTCCTTGCATATGCAATTTTATCCAATAAATGCAGTGCATCCTCCTTTGATCGGTCATTTGTCCTTGTTTGCCCCTTATTCATTTTCATAACTTCTGAACTAAAATTCTCCTTGATGTGTCTATAACAAAAGGCATGCATTTGACTCCCAAAGATTGATGCCACTCCTCCGATGATAACATTGTGTCGATCTGATACAATCGTTACTTCTACAGAACCCAGGATTTTTTTTATCATATAGAAAAACCACGTCCAGTCATCTAGTGTTTCTCCCTTGACAATTGCAATTGCAAACAGCAGCAGCTTGTTATCTGCATCATAAGCTGAAGATGACAATATTGTCCCTTTGTATGGTCCGCTTAAGTGAGTTCCATCAACATACATAATATGCGTCGCGCCACCCAAGAAACCCTCAATGCATGACCCGTAGGCAATGAAAATGCGCTCAAACGGTTCCCAATAGCAGTCCATTCAGCCACGGATTTTTCATCTGTTTCCTTTAGCCTTTTGCACACCCAGGTATGAGCATGTATGATTGTTCAGCCTGTCATATATGTCTTCCAATGACTTCTCTCTTGTTCTATAAGCCTGTTTATATGTTAGATCAATCACATACTCTCGTTTCTACTTCTTCCTTATCTCAGAAGTGCGCTTGTCTGCATGATCCCTCATCTCATCAATTATTATTGATAAGTTCAAACTAGCTCTTCCACTATGCATCACGTCCAAGCTATCTTGGGTAGAATGAACATACCAATTTATAAATGTCGTCACTCGTAGCACATCACAACTCTTCCCCACATTATTTGCACATAGCTTCCATGGACAATCGATAACTTTACACCTCATCGACATGAATTCCTTGCTATTCCTCACATACTTGGCTACAAACTTGTTTGCAAGTGCAAACTTGTATGTAGACACCCGAAATACATCTGCACTAAGAAAACGTTGGCCCACTCCTGTAAAAAGTCCCCTCCATTCGACATGAACCATCTCACTACCATCCGTATCTTCAACTCCGATAGATGTATCCACATTAGGGGGCCCACTTATTTCATCATTGTCACATTCACGAGCATTTTTCTTCACTGAGCCAGCCATAATCACAACATAAACTAATGGGAGACGCATCCAGTTCTGTTTGCTGTGACATGTCCATGAATCTCTATATTCTACATTCAGAATGACAAGACTCTTTAACACAAATAACAAGATGAAATTCATAAATAACAACAACTAGTTAGGACAAACTTCCACTTACATTTCTATATTGTCTCTTGGTTGGGGACCCACCTGCCTTTTTTCGGCCACATACACATGACCGCTCTTCCTATTGTATTGAAAGAGGTTATACATTTCAGCATTGTCATGAAGGCCAATCAGTGTCTTCTCATCAAAGGCCACTGTGTACTTAATGTCATAATTTCTTCCATCAACACCAATCCACTCACATATCATTAGCCTCAATTCTTCAAGTGTTAGCCCATCCTTAATGCTTCTTAACCTCACGCCACCTCCATTATATCTCACTTCACCTTCACCATTTGTCACAAATTTCCCTCCCACATGAAAATAACAGAACAGCTCCTTCCTACAAGATAACCCAGCTTCGAAATTCATTTTCCTTCATTACCTGCACTGATAACAGAAGTCGAATGATTATATGACTTAATACCATCATCATCAACTTACACAACCAACTTAGGGTTTGACATATTCATGCTTATAATTTGCAACAAAACACTCATTTCTTTCCTGTCCACACTAATGCTTCATTTTCTCAGAATCAATCCACTCTATTATTCGAATCTCCCTTCAACATTGTGCCTTTATTTGACACTAATCACTCTAACCCATTTTTGACACCATCAAACCCCTCTCCCTCAGTGTTTTTCCTTCCCCATGCATTCACCTTTTGATCACCGTCCTTCCCCACAGTTTCTATATACCCACACCATCTCCCTGCTTCGCCACCCTCTCCATCTCAAAACCATCCCCACATCGACAACATTGCCATCCAACGGGAAGAGGAAAATCAACCAAGGCATAAAGGAGACAGACCAAAGAGAGAGGCGAACAGTATAGTCACTGAATACTAACCTCACTTGCTTTCGTCGTTCAGTTGTTGCTTTGCGCGTTTATGCTCCCACGTTCATGGTCCCTCCGAAGTTTTTCCTCCAGCTCCTGCCACAACTTGCACACTTCCACTGGTCATTTTCTCTGTTTGGATCATGAGGGGTTGTTTGGTAATTGCCCAACATTTGCATAATCCCAAATCAAGCAATACTTCCCTATCTGGTAATACATTTGCTTAGCTTCCCATTTTGGTATTTTATAATTTCAGGTTTCTTTATGTGTCATTTTCCCTAAACAAAACAGGTTTAGAATTTTAAAATTCAAAAGTATTTTGTTTGGAATTCTTCATTAAAAGAATTAGTTAAACTATTTATTTATAATAAATAAATATTGCATCTACTAAAGTACATGTATTAATCATGTGTATTAAAATTACTACTTGATAAAAGTTTTTTAATAAGTGTAATCACTATAAAAATTAGTTAGAAGTAAAATGATAAATATTGGACATAAAAAGATGGAAATCTTATATTTAAAATCAAATTAAATTTATAATTAACTCTTATATTAAGAATAAATAATATAATATAAATTCACCCCACAATCCAGTTTTTAAATTCAACGTGTTATTATTTGTAATTCAGATAATCTATTTTAAAGTATCTTAATTGATGTCATAAAAGTATAAAATATCTTAGGCTAAAGTATACATTTGGTCCTTTAACTTTGTACAAGGTTTCAATTTGGTCCCTTAATTTAAAAAGTATACTTTTAGTTCTTTAACCCTAAATTTTTTTTTTAAAAAAATGATAACATTAAGATCTTAAATATTGATAAAACATTCTCAAATACTAACATATTAAGTTTAATTTTCAAAAAATTCATGATTGTTATAAAAAATCATCAGTGAAGCGTATTAGTTTTATGGTTAAAGACCAAATGTATGTTTTTTAAAGTTAAGAGACCAAATTAAAACCTTGTACAAAATTAAAAGACTAAATATATGCTTTAGCCAATATCTTAAAATATTAATTGTCAAATTAAAAAAGTAAAATTAAAAATTCGAGCCCCATGGAATGATGATCAAAAGTTAAGAGTTATTTTTAATTTTCAAACATGACAGCAGAAGTGAATAAAATTAGAAAAAACCCAAAAAAATGATTATTGAATTTCAAAATTCTAAATCAGAAATTACTACAAAAATGTGTTATCATTTGCTTACTATAAAAACTGTGTTATCATTTGTTTTCTAAATGTAGTCAATTTTTTTATGAGTATAGTACTCCCTTCGTTCCTTATTATAAGAAATATTTGATGCTTATGGCATGTTCCCATATATAAGAGACACTTAAAAGTTGTCTCTATTTTTTTGTATTGATTTCTTATTTTACCCTTATTTATTTTGTCTCCGACTCATACTCTCTCTCTCTCCCACTTCTCTTTCTTTTAATAATTTAATTGTTCTCTCTCATACTCTCTCTCCTTATTAATAGGAGCATTGTTGGAAAAAACATTATACTTTTTACACATTAATTGTCTTTAACTAATTTTAACTATTTTTTGATCAACGTAATTTGGTTATTTGTCTCTTATAATAAGGAACGAAGGGAGTAACAAATATTGATTTGGAATTTTAAAATTCAATGATTATTTTTTTAAGATTTTCCCTAAAATTTATATACGTGTCTAGTATATTTATTGGTAATATTTCTTTTGTCACTTTCATTTCACTTTCCAGAACATGTTGATGATTTCTCGATTTTTTCCCCATTATTCTACTGTGTTCTTCTTCTCCTTCTTTTTCGTGTAAAATTCTACTGTATTCTTCTATTAATTCAACATCTTCTTCAACTGCTTAAGAATATGGAATAATTCAGAATATTATTTGAAAAAAATTAATTTCATTGCCTATGCAATGTAACACAATGGACAAATTTTATTGAATCTGTTTTAAATTAAATTTTTTTTTACTTTATCTATATTAAGTGAAATTATGGGGGGAAAAAAGAAAACATAAGAAGTTATATTTAAATATTAATTATATGAATAAAACTGTAAAATTATTTTTGAACACTTTCTTTTGGGTTTCATAAATGCCACACTTACAATATAATTAATGTCGGAAAACTTCCAGAAAACTTACTCTAGAAAATCCATTGCCCGAAAAAGAAAATTTAACTCTAAGAATAGATGATGGAGTAGCAACTCTGTCCTGCCCTGTGCCGCAGGAAATCGTTCGGTCAGCGGCGCCTGGCTTTTGTACGACTGGCAGATGCTTCACAGTTCACGCGATCACAGATGCATGTCCATTGTTTAGTAGTTACACCTATTTTATTGTATAGATTATACTAAATCAGCCTTTATAAATCTCTCACGAAACTTTTATGGCTTCTTCATCCTTCTGGGTTTAAGGTACGGTCTGATGAGCCTTCTGCTTTCAAATTTTAATGCTGACACTATTCATCAATGCGAAGTTACTGCTTGAGTCCCCAAGCAAGACAAGTTATTCTGTTTAGGTTTCGAGTTTCAACCCTGTGCTCGATGTTCTTGCTCTTAATAACTGAAGATTTAAGTTCTCCAGGAAAAATGTGTTCTTCTAAAGTTCTAATTCTAGATTTAATTTGAATTTTACTCTCGCATATTCTGAGTTAGATTGAATTTTCCGCTGCGAACAAGAAAACAGATTATTTATGTTAATGACATTAGGTGTGTGGTCAGCAGGTAATGAGGCAATTCTCTTGGAAAACGTAGTCTTAAGATGTGAATTCTTCGGTTCCTTTTTCCCCCTACATGTTTTGAGGGATTGTCCGGTGAGATTGACCTGAAAGGACTGGAAATGTCATTCTCACTATTGAATGATAATTTCATTTATTTCATATATGATCGGATACGCAATATTCAATGTAATGTTGCTCTCCGTATATTGCTTTCAATGGTCAAATTGTAGTAAGCTTTTACTTGAGTTCTTCTGATCAGACCTATCATAAGTATCTGTGCCATCTTAGAGTTGGTGTTGGCTAGCAAGCATGGCTTTTCCCCCTTCTTATTGATATTGGTTGTTGTTGTTGTCTATTATGGAATTTGGCTTGCTTGCTGTTGATCTTAAAGCAATATACTAAAGCATTAGTTTTTCTCTGGACTGACTGGAAACTGCATGTTAAGTGAGATTTATTACAGTCTTCAATAATGATTAACTGAGTGATGGATTTGACTATACCTGTCATTTGACTTTTCTTATGTATTCTGGATCTCACAGCTTTTTGTTTTTTGAGATTTTGTTTCAGTTGTTACTTCATATGGCATGAAGTGAGTTGGAGATGTCAGACTTACCAGGTCATATTGCTTCCTGCTTGAACACTGGGAAACTTGCCTTATTAGCGCTCTTGGTTGCGGGTGGGATTGTCTTGCAAATTTTGGTCTGTGATATTTTCCTCAATCCCCATATTCATTATTTATGATTCATATGTATAAAAATGTAAGGCCGTACTGCCCAAATCATCATTGTATGCATCTGTTTTATGTGACAGGCATGTGCATTGTATGATAACTGGTGGCCGATGTTATCAGGTGAGTTACCACACTGAGTTCAGAAAAATGCTATATAGTTTTATTCCATTTCAAATGTGTCCAGTGTGGAATTTGTTGAAGGATTATCTCCCACACAATACAAGTTTTGCATGGAGAGAAGGGAGATGGGTGGCTTCCACTACCTCTCTTTTTCTCCACACAATAGCTGTTCTACATGAGAGATAATCCATTTTTGTTGGATTGATGTGAAGAAAAAGATGATTTTAGTTAAATTTAACTCTTGAGTTGTTAGGAGAACATGAAGCTAATCATGAGAAAAATAAGCTGTATCCAACAAATCCCTTGTGTGTTTAGCTTAAATTCTCCCAACATCTCCCTCTTACGTTTAGGCTAACTAAAATCTCTGTTTTTTTTTTTTTTAATCTTAAACAAGCTAGTCCTTAGTCGTTCATACATTACTTTCTTCTGATTGTAAAGATATCTCAATGTAGTCTTCAAAAGGTCACTCTCTTCTAAATTAAATAGTCTCTCCTTTAGACAAAACTGGGAGTGCCTACCATGGGCCTTCATATGTGTATTCAACTCCCAATAGGTGCTATGTGGTATTAAAAACTAAATTTTAGGACATCCTAGAGATCACAAATGCTTCCCCATGATTTGAGTAAAATTTTAGGTGCTAACTTGCATTCAATTGTTGTTGTTGCAGTGATAATGTATTTTCTTCTTCCCCTACCTTTGCTTTGCTCTGGTGGATCGGATGATTATTCTCTGCTTTCTGAATCTGATGGCAGGTAAACTATTATCTTTAGAGTAATTCACAAATTAGATCTGACTATGCACAAGCTGGGAAAATTAACTCTTCCTTTTATTTTTCCCCCCGCTCCTTGCTTGGTGGATGAAATAGTTGGGCGAATGTGACCAAATTTTTGACTGGAGCCTCAGCTATTGGAAGCATAGCCATACCAGCCATATTGAAGCATGGAGGGCTTATTGGTTGGGGAGCAATGACAATGGAACTTGGCTCCTTCTTCGTGCTTGTATTTGCCATTATGTGTTTTATGTGCATGACTAACGATGATAATTAAATGATGGTTTATGACAATGCTCTGGGATTCTCTTTCGGTTGTGAGAAATGTAATTACTGCAAACTTGGTTTCAGCAAAAGCGCGTTTCTTTTTCTCGCTTGCTTTTTTTTATTTTCTGTGTTTCAGATTCATTGCCATCTCTTGTTCCCCATTAAATTAGAATTTGGAAATGCCTGTGTTTTTTCGACCTAATTGGATATGCCTTTTGAAGTCGCTTTATTGGAGACACTGAAACATTTTACAGGGAATTTAAGGCTGATATTCATGGGAAATTAAGGTTGATGTTATTTTAAATAAACTTTACTTTTCTTTTGTGCGGACAAATGAAACAGTCCACATTTCCAGTTTTGAACCAATCCATTCCCTGAGACTGCATTCAGGTAGAGACATGATTGAATATCAAATCGGCAAACTATTATCAAGCAACAATAAAGGGGAATTTGCCAAATCTCCATTGAAGACCAAGCAAAAACACGGGAAAAAAAAAGGGCGCAGGAACAGCAAGTTAGAGTGTTTTACACGGAAGACTTTGTCTAAACTTTGCAAGCATCTTTGACTCCCATCCAAAACAGTGAAGAAAATTTGCAGAAATGGGAAGATTACATGCAAAAAACTAGGGCCGATTGCACTTTGCAGAAATGGAAAAATTCCCGATCTGTTTTACCAAGCATCTTTACTACTTGGCCCCTTTTAGCAAATTTCCCCAACAATGATGGGCGTAAAAACTAAAATGGCACAATTCCCCGCTCTAGCTCATGGTTGTGGGATTTTCATTTGCTTTTTCTGGGGGAATATCAACCCATTATTGCCTCCTACTAAAAAGAGATGGGACAGTGAAAATATGTGAATCCTGCCCGAGTCATCAGCAATATCTGCACTAAAATTAAAGCGACTCTTAACAGTGTCCTCATTTACGTAAGAGGAGAGTAACAAAGGTTGTTAGAGTATGATCAACTCTACATTTATGAAACGTCAACAGAATTGCGGGGTCAAAAATTGCTCTTGTTGCTGTTTCATGCACTTTCAAACTCATTGATCCATTCCATATCTCGATCACGAGCCAAGATGGGGGTGTCTACATTTTGGCCAACAAATTAGTGCTTACATTAGTTCAGTTATTCCTATAAATCTTATGCGTTGTAATAATTAGGACGTGTTTGGAAACAAATTTGGCTTTGACAAACAAGTTTCCAAACACGCACTTAGATTCCTTAGCAGCCAGCAAGGGTTGGCCATTGATGAGCTTGATGTAGAATGCGAGCGCAAAAACTTTTATCCTTATTCTTTGCGTGTATACTATAGGACAAGCAGTTCATTTAACCATGGCTGTAAATATCAGTAAATTGGAGACTCAATTGAATTGTCAGCCAATTTGAAAGCACACTTGTCTAAGCAGGTTAAGAGTTGATGACAACAGATGTCATGTGTCATGTGCTCGCATTATAACATACTAAGCATCCAAGAGACAAGAAGAGCCTGTACTGACGGTTGAAATTACAATTTAAATGAAAGATCTGTTTCTTCAACTCTTCCAAACCGAGATCTGCAAAACGTTTTCAAGATATTTAGTTTTTCGAAACCTGAGTAGAGGAGAAAAGAAACCACTTAATTACATAATTCAGAAAGACAAATGCACAATGACCAAATCTAGTGGGCATTTCCAAGCTCAGTTATTCAACCAACCAGAAATATGTGAAAAAAGAAACGCATATATGTTCAGTAAGCTACTAAATAATGATCCCTGATCAACAATCTCAATCACATTCAAGCTCTAATTATTATTGTTCCCCACTGCACATCATTGGGTTTCTTTTCTTTATACAGGCTGCCTCTTATGATTGAACCCAATGTTGAACGAGTATTGAAGTAGAGATCCACTCCATTTTAAGGCAAAGTTAAGCAACCAACATCGTTGTTACCCGAACAGATTTCAGTCTACCCAAATACTCTCTCAGAAACATGCTAGATTCATGAAAATTGAGAACAGGTTAAACTTTACACGGAAGAACAAACTCAGAGATACTCTCACTCACAAGACAGCAATTATGCTTGGGAGAAACCACTCAAGGAACAAAATTGCAATTAAAGTTGATAACTTTGAAGTAGTCAAGCATAATTGCAACAGACCACACCTTATTTACACCCACAATCATATATTCCCTAAAGAATCAATGTCACTGCTTAACCAGATTAAACAAGCCAGTACAGAGACTTGGCAGCACAATGCATTACTAAATTATAAAGAGCAAGCCCACACTTTATTCGAGTGAATCCCATTATACCTTAATGACATCAATTCTCTCTCTTCACAGCACTTTACAATTCGACATGGGCCGGGAAAAAAAAATAATAATTCGCCCAACAAACCAGAGAGAGAATGGAAGTCACAGTGCTTACACTTTAGTTCTAACCGAAGACGACGCGAAACTGCGGAGCGTCTGAGGCACTGGCGGGCAGGATTTCCCAGCGGCAGGGTTCGAGTTCTTCAGAGACAGGGCAATAACCAGCGAGGGTGACCTTGTCGGCGGAAGCGGCAACGGAGCCGAACTCGAAAACGGAGACGTTGAAGTTAGGTGGTCGGGGAACCTCCATTGCTCCGTTCATGCCGGGGGCCTCAGTGGGCTTCGTGGTCGTTGCGGTGTTGGAATTGTCAATAGGCTTGGGTTGAGGATTAGATTTCTTGCCCTTCCACCATGAGAGTAAACCCATGATTGTCGCTGATGGGAAGCTAGGGATTGGGACTTCCTTGACGTCTGGGTTTACTCTCAGTACAGCGTAATCGCCCAACAGGCGAAGATTACCGTATTGGGAAAAAAGGCCCTAGAAATATGAAATATCCATTTAGGGGAGTACAGGTAGAAAAACAATCATTCAAGTGGAGTGTAAGCGATCCTTTCATCTTTTGGTCAGAGAATGGGAGTGATTTAAAAGTCAGAATTTTTTATTTTTAAAAAAAGGCGTCGAAAATAAATATTGATTGTAAAAGACTTCACTTGGGGCAAAACAATTATGATTTAACTGTGATAAAGAATGTTTGAATAATACTCCTCCGGTCCTTAATATAGGACCCAATTGGTGAGTTGGTTTTGGTCCTAAATATAAGACTCATTTCTTATATTTATCAATTTTCTCTAAATTACCCCTATAGATACTCCCTCAATCATAATCAAGTGTAGAAGAGGAAGATGGGGTATTAAGAAAGATGATTATAGTGTTTTAGAAAAAACGTGTCACATTTTTTATAATTAACTAACTTACCTAACTTCCTTAATCTAATCAAATTAGTTAAATAGGTCTTATATTAAGGACTGGAGGAGTAATAAATAGAAACGAGAGAGAAATCCTAGAGAACAATTTTTACTTCCTATGTACTACCTCCGGTCCTAATTATAAGAGCTAGTTGACTAATTTGAGGAGATTAAGAAAATAAATTGAATTAGTTATTTGTCCTAAATAGATATTGTCTTTCCTAAAATATCCTTACTAAGCAAGTGTATTGACTAGAACTATTATTGTTAGAAGGGCTACTTTGGAAAAAAATATATAAATATGAGAGACAAAGTGGATTGAGGTCTTATATTTAGGACCAAAATAAAAGTCAAATAGGGCCTTATATTAAGGACCGGAGGTAGTACCTTTTTATGAGAAACAATGGTATCTTACATATAAGGAACTAATCTTCAAAATTTAAACCAATCGCTTCATTTTATCTCTATTAAATATATCTCTTCATAAATAAGAGTATAATTGAAAAATATGTGTATATTATATATTTATTGCTTTCAACCAAATTTAACTAACAAACACTTTATTTTAATAAGGGATGGAGGGAGTAAATTTTTATATTAAACTTTTTTGCTTTTTGTGATTATTTTATAGGGAAAATGACAATAAAATACCACCTGAATTCCAAAAAGACAAATAAGAGACCTGAATAAGCAAAATGACAAATAGGGCACTGGGTACCAATTTGGAATATAGATTTTCGGCCAAAAGACCGAATTGCCCTGATTGTCTCTGAACATTGAGCAGTGTATTCATGCGATAGAGAAAGGGAGAAACTGATTTCCTTCTACGAAACTAAATCCAAGTTCCTGCAGTCACCAAAAAGGATTTTTCGAAATCACGTTGCCGTCGTCGTAGGAGTAGATTGCCATCGCTGAATTTGGTTACCATCGCTGAAATACATTGCCCTGTCTGAAATAACTTGTACCCCCTGAAATTGTCGTCGTCGAAGAGGTCGCTGAAGTATTTGAATTATTCATGAGTGAGTAGAAGTTGATGGCAGGATTTGGATTATTCATTTTTGTGGCTGTTTCATGGTGAAATAGGAACAGGATTATTGCATTTGAGGGTTCATATTCAGTATTTGGTGAATGATGAAGCAGAAATCAGAAAATAGTCGCAAGCAATTACGTAATGTAATTGCTGTCATATGTTTGCTGGTTTTTGGTAAATCCCATTCCGTGAATGGTAAATCCCATTTAATGGTATAATATACATGTAGTTAATTATGAAACTTAATAGTTCAATGTTTATTGTGATGTACTTCAGGTGCACGTTCACTGAATGATTTATTTATGCTTACAAGTTGCTCTTCCGGTGAAAACAGGTTTACAAAACCCATTGAAGAAGTGGTCACTTTCACTATAAAAGTTGTAAATCCCATTATGTGTTTTGTAAAATTCAGCGTGAAATTTTATTGGTGGTGAAAAGTAAGTTACTCATCCCCCGAAAATATATTGCAAAATCTATTAACAAAGCGGTCACTTTTATCACAAAAGTTGTAAATCCCAGCATATGTTTTATAAAATTCAACGTGAAATTTTATTGGTTTTTAGAAACAAGTTACCTATCCCCTGAAAACAGGTTACAAAAGCCATTTAAGAAGTAGTCATTTTCACTATAAAAGTTGTAAATCTCACTGTGTGTTTTGTAAAATTCAATGTGAAATTTTATTGGTTTTTAGAAACAAGTTGCTCATCCCCTAAAAAGAGGTTGCAAAACCCATTTAAGAAGTGATCATTTTCACTAAGAAAGTTGTAAATCTCACTACATGTTTTGTAAAATTCAACATATAATTTTATTGGTTTTTATAAACAAGTTGCCAATCCCTTGAAAACATGTTGCAAAACCCATTGAAGAAGTGATCATTTTCATTATGAAAGTTGTAAATCTCACTATGTGTTTTGTCAAATTCAGCGTGAAATTTTATTGATTTTTAGAAACAAGTTGCTCATCCCCTGAAAAGAAGTTGCAAAATTCATTTAAGAAGTGGTAATTTTCACTACAAAAGTTGTAAATATTACTCTATGTTTTGTAAAATTCAGCATAGAATTTTATTGGTTTTTAGAAACAAGTTGCCAATCCCTTGAAAACATGTTACAAAACCCATTGAAGAAGTGATCATTTTCACTACGAAAGTTGTAAATCTCACTATGTGTTTTGTCAAATTTAGTATGAAATTTTATTAGTTTTTAGAAACAAGCTGCCCATCTCCTGAAAACAAGTTACAAAACCCATTGAATAAGTGGTCATTTTTACTACGGAAGTTGTAAATCCCACTATACGTTTTGTCAAATTTAGCGTGAAATTTTATTAGTTTTTACAAACAAGTTATTTATCTCCTGAAAACAGGTTGCAAAACCCATTAACAAAGTAGTCACTTTCACTACAAAAGTTGTAAATCACAATATGTATTTTGTAAAATTCATAATTAACTACATGTATAGTAAAATTTACCATTCACATAGTGGGATTTACCATTCACGTAGTGGGATTTACCAAAAACCAGCAGGCATATGACAGCAGTTACGTAACGTAATTGCTTGTCATTGTTTTCTGATTTCCACTTCATCTTCCCCGCAGGTTCACTCCCTCTCTCACTACAAATCCTCTTTCCCACAACCAAAACCCACCAAATCAACAATCTCTACAGAATGGTGATGCGAAGGAGTAAGATAATAGCATTTCCAACATTCTTCTTTCCTTCTTCCCGCATTTCATCACCGTCGGTCTTCCTCTCTCCTTTCTCTCACTGCGTCGCTTTCTTCCTCTCTCCTTTCTCTCACTTTCAGACAGGGCATTTTGGTCTTTTGGCCAAAAATCTGAATTCCAGATTGGTACCCAGTCCCCTATATGTCATTTTGCTTATTCAGGTCCCTTATTTGTCTTTTTGGAATTCAGGTGGTATTTTATTGTCATTTTCCCTATTTTATATTCAAAAAACGAGAGTTTTATATTTTAATATTATTAATATCTAAGTGAACATTTTTCTGATTCAAAACTAAGTGAATATTCGCTGAGCTATTCAAAACAGAGGCTATTTTACATGTTACCTCTGGTACTTAATGTGTAATAAATATACATTATTTTTTCTAAAATAACTTTATTAATAATATGTATTAGTTAAAATTACCATTTGATAAAATATTTAACATGAGCATGCAACTACTGTAAGGACTATCTTAGAAAAATAGATAAATATGAGGGATAAATATATTAGAGTTTTATATTTAGAACTAAATTGAATGACCAATTAGATATCATATTAAGGACCGAAGGTAGTATTATAAATATATTACGGTAGATTTTATATTCCATATTAATAATATTATTAATATTTTTTTAATAAGCACATATGTATCCTCGAGGATTGGAATATTGTATTCTATGTTAATATTAATATTGATAGATTTAGAAGTGTTTTGACGGAAATCAAAACATGATTTTAAAATCACTTGTAAAATAGGAAAAATTCTAAAAAAAGTCCTTGAAATATAGGAAATTTCATATTGGGTCCTGGAATTTCGAAAATGACAGAAAGGGCCAGTGATCCAATGTGTCATTTGTCAAATTAAGAGGAATTGACAACTTTGTCCTCATTTGTATTCATTTACTACAATGATTTAAGGAATCACTATAAGAGTTTAGGTGTTACCTAGATTCGTATAGCGAATAACTACTCATTTTTTTATAGTCAGGTGTCTTGTTATTAACTACAACTAATTTTGTAATCACTAAAACAATGTAAGCATTACCTAGATTCATGTAGAGAATAACTACTCACTTTTTCATAGTCAGATACCTTATTATTAACTACAACTAATCTTGTAATCACTAGAACAGTGTAAGCGTTACCTAGATTTGTTTAGAGAATAACTACTCACTTTTGCTTAACTAGGGGCAAAATTGTCAATTCATCTTAATTTCACAAATGACAGATTGGGTCAATGACTCTTTCTGTCATTTTCAAAATTCTAGAATCCAATATGAAATTTTCTATATTCCAAAGGCTTTTTCTAGAATTTTCTCTTTAAAATATACAAAAAAATAAATATATAGAAGAGTTTGCCTCGTCTTGTAGAAAAGTACTTTTTAAACGCACTTTTTCATGTTACCAAACACCTCATAAGGTGATTTTGACAGATTTTAAAATGACAAATTAGTGATTTTGACATATTTTAAATAGTCAAAACTATTATAGGAGTAGTTAAAATCATTATATAAGTATCCAGCATAATCTTTTTTTTTTTTTATCATTTTGCTTTCATTCTATTCCTCTCATAATATGAGGCCGAAGGCTTTTGCTCCGGGCTCTCCTGGCTTCTACCGCATAGGTACACACATGCAAAACTAGGTGCTTTATTTATTTACTTGCTTACTTATTTTGAGTGAATTTATTTATGTTTTTTGGTATACTACATGGAAGGGCTTTTTTACCTTCCTGCTTCGTGCGGTACAAAAAATACCAAAATGCTACACGGTGGGAAATATTTACCAAAATGCTACTGGTGGGAAATATTTACCAAAATGCTACTGGGCAAGAACGATCTCAACTTTCATAACCTAACATACATAAAGTTAAATCATTCTTGGCAAGAATAATTTTAGTTTTGTCCAGGAATATCACACTTTCCTATATAATGTTTTGGTATTAGTTGTACCATCTTCAATCTTATACATTGGAATTACTTTTTGGTGAAAACCCCTAACAATTTATGGGGATATTTTGTAGAAGAAGTTATAAATTTAAAAAATAAAATAAATTCAAAACTTATATTTATGACCCAATTCAACACTTTTACTAGATTTTATATTAAGAACAGAAAGAGGTATATATGTTAAGTGGAAATCAAGTTAGAAAATTATTAAATTTAAGACATAACTAAGAAGGTTTAAATTTTTTTTTTTTGTTAGTTCTGTGAAACATGTTAAAAATAAATTATAAGTAATACTCCCTCCGTTCCTTATTATAAGAGACATTTGATGCTTATGGCATGTTCTATATATAAGAGACACTTACAAGTTGTCTCTACTTTTTTGTGTTGATTTATTATTTTACCCATATTTATTATCTCCAACTCACACTCTCTTTCCCTTCCACTTCTCTTTCTTTTAATAATTTAATTGTTCTTTTTCATGCTCTCTCTCCTTATTAATGAGGGCATTTTTGGAAAAAAAAATACTTTTTACACATTAATTATTCTTAACTAATTTTAACTGTTTTTTTGATCAACGTATTTCGGTTATTTATCTCTTATAATAAGGAATGGAGGGAGTATCAAAATATTATATAGGAAAATGTGATGCTACAGGACAAAACTGAAATCATGCCAAGAATAATTTTGTTTTACGTGAGATCATGAAAGTTGAAATGATTCTTGCTAAGAATGAGATTCAATGCAAGTGTCTGATAAATACTTCTCAAGCATTTTGGTCTTTTTTTGTTTGTTTGTTACCGTACATAAAATATTGGTAAAAAAGCCTACATGGAAGTATAGCTTAGATTAACGTGACGCGAATTTTATTGAATAGACATTGATTGATTAGGTTGCATCGTACTCCTCGATCCTCTGGTACCAGGAGGAGCACATGACTACATATCCTCTGTTTCTGAAGGCTCACCCCGTTCTGCAGCTCGATATACCCATGATCTCACTGAAATCGTTGTCAGATTGGACATTGCGGATGTCTGTTATGACATAGTTCTGTACTTGTTTAGTAGGGAGAAGCTTCATTCAGAAGATGCTCAACTTGAGGAAAGCTACTCCTTAGACACAGACTATACAAGTCTGAAAGTATGAGTCACAGGGCGAAATCGAAGCAGCTTATAATTAAAAGAGTGAAACTCTTGTCATTCTTCAATATAGAGGACAACTCTTCCCAAAGGCCAAAGCAACACTAGAGCTTTGGGTTTTGAAGCATACCAAATTACCAATGACAGAATGTAGATATTAGAAGACATTAGCACGCTGCTTTTCGTAGTTCAAGAAACTTCATCATGCCTCACGGATTCTTGGGTTTCTGTGTTCGTAACGTATATCGTTAGTCATTAACAGAACAAAATGTAGTTGCAAAACTCTGCCTGGGGAGAATATGGCAAAGGTGTTTTTTAATAGCATGCAAGGAATGAAATTGTTAAGGGCCTGGTGCTCAGTTTCATTTCCATAGCCTGAAAAAGAAACGCTTTTTCTGCTATGTTTTAAATAGATCTATGCTACTAACAAGTTAGGTCTAGCGGATCTTAATATCATAACGTGACGAATTAAAGTTGGAATCCACAGTAAGAGAGAAATACTCACATTTAGTATCCGACAATGTCTTAAATAGTACCACTTCCAATCAGAAGACATCTGTACTAGGAAAAAGAAAAATATAGATCCATGCTGTGACTCTCTGCAAGCAGATATAACTTGTCATTTTTTGTCCCCTCGATGCTACTTTTTTTCTCATTTCATTAACTGCCTCGTCACTCTTATTTTAATCTAAAACTGCTTATGTTCATCCACAGAAAGGTGTTGTGCGTATCAAGGCAATATGGCAACGGTTTTCCTTTTGTTCCTCCCTCCTATGCGTTCTATGCCTAAGGGCTTCGGTGGGGATATCAGCAACTCACCTCAACAAATCAATGCGATGCTTCAGGTTGCTATATTTAGTACATTTTATGTCGCTCTATGTGCTAAAACAAACGCATATGGATATATAATTTCACATAGCAAAATTTGTATAAATAACTAGTTTTGGTGAAGCAATACTTTCAATAATGTCACAAACAAATTTTGCCAGCTATATAATGATAGTGAAACCAGCATGAATGCTACTCTTAACCCATGACTATGAAAACAGGAAAAAGAGACCTCATTTGAATAAATTGCATCACTTATTCAGCTTTAACTGAAGTTGTTAACAATGAAGTATAAATTGAAACAAAATAGGTATCAGTTACCTCTCAACTAATTTCACACTCTCGCAGATTAAACTGACAAGATCTCAAGGGATTTTCCTCTTTGTATCTACCCATCTGCGGCAGCTTTTGCACTCCTAAACTCCTTTTTCAGATCAGTGACTCTTTTCATGCAAGCCGCTTTGGATTTTCCCGGTACAGCAGCCGCAATCTTCTCCCATCTCATAGCAGCATCCTTTGGAAATGCCTTCAAAGCGTTAAGCAGTGCAATATCCTCCCCTGCACTCCAACCACTTCCAGCTCCTTCACCAGTACCATCGTCAGCTTTCCCCTCCGGTTCACCTCCCAAATCTCCATTCCCATTATCAAGTCTCTTATCCACCGGTTTTCTCTTCTTCAAAAACTGTGTATACGAGTCAGAGTCATCAAGCTTCTTCTCTCCTAATTCCTTTGCCTTCTTGATGACACTCTCCATCCTATGCCGCCCGCTGAATGCCTCTGCAATTACCTCCCATCGTCTAGGTTTTCCCACCGGATGCTTCGACATCTGTTTCTTCAAAATCTCAACGTCTTCTTCAGTCCACTCCTTCTCTTCATTCAATACCACACCATTTCCACCAACTCCTTGATTCTTCTTCTCCGCCCGCTCAGACGTGTTGACGCTATCAATCGAGACGATGGGACCGATCGCTGTATCCTCAGATCTACGAGCCTTCGATCTCTTCTGAGAAGACCTCTTGCTTGTGTCTTCATCGACTGCGACTTCTTCATTGGGGAACTCAACAATTGAACCATGGCCGACGCGGACGTCGCCGCCGGTGAGGGAAATGGGAGCAAAGGGACCGATGAGGAGAGAAAGAGAGAACCAGATTAGGATGGATCGAAAGGGTTCGGATTGGAGGTAGAAAATTGAGAGAGCGAAGAAAAGGCAAGAAAGTGAAATGGTAAAGAAGAGGAATGGCTTGCTGGGTTTGTGGTAATCTTGTGAATCTGAAGCAGAAGAAGCTTTAGCTTGAGATTGGAAGAGGAACCTTGGCCTAGCGTCCTCGTCGAAGAACTCCATTCTTACGATATTTTATGTGCCTCTTGACTCTCAAGCTTACCAATTTAATGGCTTGTCGCGCGTAGAAGATCACCCGTTATATATTTTATTAATTCTACAATACTAATCCTTTTCTTTTCCATTTGGTATTCCTAATTAATTATAAAACTTTCTAATTAATTAACTAAACTCCTATATTATTGATAATTTTTATAATAATAATTTTAATATCTGAAAAAACCAAGTTTAATTAATTTTACTAATTATTAATTCATATAAAGTTGTTAGTATTATAAGATAGGAGCAGGAACATACATGTTAGCATGGACTAATGTGTCCTTCTGGTATCATTGTTAATTTTGCTAATTCAAACAATATGAGTAAGTTTCAATTTCACTTGGGCATGAAATTTTTTTTTTTAATAGAATTACGCAAATCAAATTGTCATCTAACCAATTCAATTGAGTTATCAATGAACTGGCTAGTTTAATACTCGTCCGGTTTTTAATATAGAATTTAATTAGGAAGTTGAAGTTGATCCTATTTGTAAGATCTATTTTACATTTTTATCAATTTTTCTCAAATGAACCCTATTGATATTCTCTCAATAATATTCAAATATGAAAAGAAGAGAGAGAATTAAGAAAGATACTACTTAGAGTGTTTTAGAAAAAACATATCATATTAACTAATTTAGTTAATATTTTTAATCTACTCAAATTAGTTAATTAAATCTTACATTAAGAAATAGAGGAGTATAATCTTCCAAACATTAAATTAATGGGTAAAACAATCTCTTTTAATTTTTCATGAAACCTTGTTTCATAAATTTATATAAAAGATTTCATATTCTTAAAAAGTTTAGGTGTCAATTATTTTGTAAATTAAATCAATCAACCTGTTAGGATGCCCTCCATCTCTTTTTGTGAGAAACAGTATTTTTCATAGTGGTGTCTTTAAATATAAGAAACAAATTCTTTTTTCCCCCCTAAAATTTTAAATTTGTCTTTTCACTTTTACCCATATTAAATGTATGCCATGTTATCTTTCTGTAATAAATTTTTACTTATTATCTTTCATATACTCTTTTTACAATTAAATGGTAAAATTAGGGGAAAAAAATATATGTCTTACACATTTACTACCTCCGGTGTAATGAGGTCTTATAATTAAAACCGAAAGTAATATTATTTTTAACTAAATTTAATTAACATTTTGAACCGCATAATTTTGATAATTGTTGTTTATAATAAACGTTGATGGAAGGCGTACGTCATAATATTAGTAGTTTTTCCGCCTAATTAACATCACATTGATGCTTCACGTCAAGCTTTATAGGATATCTATGAAATGTTAACAAATTTTGTTAGATTGTGTCTGCGTTGAAGGTTGACAAAACTGACCAAGATCTTTAGCGTTTACATGTGCTTTTTTTTTGTTTTTTTGGGGCTAAAAACGTTTACGTAAGTTAGAATGTATAAAAACACCAAAACAAACGTACACTTAATTAATCTATTACACTTCCTAAACTTTTTGAGAAGGAAAAGCTAAGTGAGCCAATTCCCTTTAAATTTTCTCTTTTTATATGAGGGAAATGAAAAGAAGGAGACGAAAAATTTTAAAAACTTCGATTTGAAAAAAATTGAAAAAAAAAAGATTGTAAAATTCTGATAAAAAAAAATGTAAACTAACTTCAAATAAAAGTACACCAACAGCAATAGAATAAGCCAAGAGAGTTATTTACTATTGTCAGAAATAATTTGATTTGCTTTTTATAAGTAATATGTATCCACCCCTTAAAAATTATATAAGTGTTGTGATTCATGTCTTCAATTAATATCTTGAATATATGACGCAATAATTCTATAGTGTCCCAACTCACTAGTGCTAGGTGGCCCAAAGAGAAAGTCACAAGTTCCAAACTGATTTGCGCTAAGCACTATGGCTGGGAAGTGGGGCGTATGGGCAATACCATCATGAAGAGCCATCCCACACACATTAGTCTAGTTGTTTTCAATATATTGCTTGCTTGCTAACTTCGAATACCTCTACTTTTTTTTTTTTTTTTGCTAAAGCATAGGTATCCTCCTATTAGAGGCAATCCTATTTGAGATACTGTCGGGCACTAAATGTGGGCACCTCTCCCAGCGGGGATTCGAACCTTGGTCCACCACGTTGTGGGAGACTAGCCCCTTCCGCTAGACCCAACCCCCGTTGGTCGAATACCTCTACTTTTGTTTGTTAGCAAAACAATATATTTCTTTTTTTTTTTGTGACTAAATTTTAAGAAAAGGGTTGGGCTTACCTATAATCCAATTAACCCTTAACCCCAATCCTACCCAATGCTACAACAACTAGGACTGGGAGAGCTCCACGGGAGGGATTACCACATGGTACGAGCTGAGGTTTTGGCTTTGAAGATGTCTCTTTCAATGCCACGACATGCTCTAGGTTGAATCCACTCCCTCAATGAGTGCGTCCAACCCCTTCATCCGATGAACCCAAGGACGAGGGATGGAAAACAATATATTCAATTCAATATATGGTTGGGTTAAGAAGATGATGAGACTCTGATTTTTTTTTTTTTAATAAGGTCAAGAACTCAAATTTTATAAATAAAAATGTGCCATGCTAAAAAAAAAAAAACCTCTGTATTGGTTGGATAATATTTGAAAAAGAAAAAAACACTAGAACCTACTTATTACTCAAACTTATGTGTTACTACCTCCGATCTTAATTATAAAAACCAGTTGACTAATTTAAGAAGATTAAAGAAATAAGTTAAGTTAGTTATTTGTGATAAATAGGTGTTATTTTTCCTAAAATATCCTTACTAATCAAGTGTATTGACTAGAACTACTATTATTAGAAGAACTACATTAAAAAAATATATAAATATAGGAAACAAAATGGATTGAGATATTATATTTAGACTAAAATAAAAGTTAAACAAAGTCTTATATTAAAAGGTAGTATACCAGTATTATACGCACCATTCCCTTCTGCAGAACTTGGGGTATGAAAAAAGATAGCTGTATTACATGCATATTGTACCAATGGATCATTATTATTGCCACGTTGGGTCCAGAGAACTCCCAAATGGATTCCATGTCATAGCTGACGTGGTTCACAGAACTTGGTTCTTGGCAATCTCTCTCATCAGCATCTTTTGAAATCGACCATGGAAAATGTGCAGCCTCCTGCACATACAATATAAAATTAAAAATCCAGGCACAGACCCTTCGCAGGACTTTCAAATTTCAAAACTGATAAGCTTTAATTTATCTACCCAATGGGGTGGCTGCTAGTAGATATTCATAGCATCTTAGGTTCGCTATAATGACACCAAGGCCCACCCCCACGATGTATGCCATTTTCCATTCTGCAATTTGTGCTCAAGTCTTGTAACTGGAACCACCCATTCTCTAACCCGTTTGGCACCATTGAATTGAGGAGATATAGCTGGAATTGAGGACGGAACTGGGATTTTGGCTTGTTTGGTTCGATGCAAGCTAGTTCCATGGAAGTGCTAGTTCCATCAAATTTGAGAATTATCACTTCCTTGCCCTCCATGAGAAATAAATCAAAGAGATTAATATTTCCACTGTAGCTTCCAAGTGTTGACGCTGAGATATATAACAAGTTCCTTGAGTTTCCAAGTGGGAAAACTAAGATATTCCCATAACTCTCAAGTTTAGACAAGGTGCCAAAGGGCCTAACCGTTTGATTCCTTGAGTTCACGCCACATTTCTCTTCATCTACTTGCATTCAAATTCAATTCCATCTTTGGTTTTGACCTAGTTAGGTGTACAACTGGTCAATAGCCGCATTTGGTTTTTCTTCGTGTTGGCTCTGGTAATTTCGTAATATTATTCATGTGGTTTCTGTGAGAAATATTAAACTGACCAAAACAAAGGAAATTCAATTGAAAGCATATGAAAGAGAGGACCACCGAAGCCACAATGGCTAAGTAGGTAGCTTTACAACAGATAAACGTTATTGGACTAATTACAAGAAATGAATTAACTATTGATTAATAATATCTAAAATAGACTAGCCTATTAGGAGAAAAAAACCCCTTGAACTTATAAACCTTACAACACTTATGAGGCTCGCAATGTGAGACTCATAACAATGCATCCTCCTCAAGAGCCGACATCCTAGCGGCTTCATGAAAACACCAATATGATGTGCATAAACCTAAAGAAAAAACCTAATCCCAAAAGACTAACCTATTAGGAGGGAAAACCCCTTGAATTTATAAACCCTGCAACACTTGTAAAGCTCCTCAATGTATAACTCATAATTGCACATCGGTTTCATGAAAGCACTAATATAATGAGTATAAGCTCAAGGAAAGAGTCCAATCTCAAAAAATTAGCCTAGAGAGCCTCTTAAACTTATAAATCTCACACCACTTGTGATGAGGCTCCCAATGTAGGGCTCATAACACAATTTGAAAGGTCAAAGGCATTCAACATCTATGAAACCGAGGGTAGCTGGGAAGCAAGCAAAGGTTGAATCTTTATTTTATTTTTTTTAATATTTACTTTTGGAATGTCAAAACTATGAAGTCGGTAAGGTTCACCAAAGTCTCTATAAATAGGACCATCTCTGGTTGGTTCCATGCATCAGCAACTCATTGTTTTCTCCATACTTCTTTCTGCTTTGTGTTCTGTCTTATACATCCAAATATGTCTCTCTCTGCTTTGTCTTCTCTTCTTCTCACCACCACCTTGCTTTTCATGCAAAATCTGGCAGCCGAAGCTGCGTGTTCCGATTGTTTTATATCTTCTCGAGCTACTTATTACCCGAACTCTGACGAACAAGGAACAGCTGGTAAGATCATATGTAATTCTTAAGACAACCCAGAAACAAACATGCATTGAGATTTAATTTCTAACAATAAAACATGTTTTCTGATACATTTTTTATATTAAATATCGCAGTTGGTGCATGTGGGTTTGGCTCCTTTGGTGCTACAGTCAATGGCGGGGACGTATCCGCAGCTTCTGCTCTTTATCGTGATGGTCTCGGCTGTGGTGCCTGTTACCAGGTCACTAAACACACACACACACACACATATAGTCATCGTCTAAATTCTTAATCCCTTCTTCATTTTCTAAGCTATCTATATGTCATGAGTACCATATTGGGAGGGTTATCTCGAAAGGGGGACCTTATAAAATCTTGGGCTATCCAACTTCAACAGCTAGCTTTTGGGGTGTGATTTTTCCAAGGACTCGTGTTCATTAGATTTTATGGCTTCATGATTATGGTTCTATATGCCGTGAATTTAGCTTGCATGTAAGCTTTATGAGCAAATTAAAGCAAAGCAGTAATAGCAGCGACTGATTTCATGAGGTGGTTTTGTTTAGGTGAGGTGTAAGAACAGTGGTTATTGCTCAGACAATGGCGTGACGATAGTGATAACGGACCAAGGTTCAGGTCCTGGCACTGATTTCATTCTGAGCAAACGAGCTTTCACTCATATGGCTCAGACCAGTGATGCTGCTGCGACTTTGTTGGCTTCCGGAGTCGCTGATATTGAATACAGAAGGTCATTCTAATTTTTAAGATCTTCGTCTTTTTTAATGATTAAAGTAAGATGTTTGGTTCATAGGTATAAACTGACGCCATTTCTTTGTGTGTCCAGAGTTTCATGCAGCTACCCAGCCAAAAATATCACTTTTAAGATCCATGAGGGTAGCAGCAACCCCAATTACTTGGCCTTCGTCATAGAGTACCAACAAGGCAAAAGAGATATCACTGCTGTGCAGCTCTGTGAGGTATTTTTTCTGCTTCCTTTTCATCTCAGTCATGGACAGAATTTTGCACAATTTTGTTATGAGTCCCACGTCAAAAAGCAAGCCTTATAAAAAAAAAGTGAGATTTATAAATTTAAGAGGCTCTTGCATCCAACATGCTAATCTTTAGGTGAGAGCATCCGATGATTTCAGAAAGATTACAATTTGGCACCCTTGTTTTCTTACAGGCTATTCTTTTGAGATTAAGCTCGCAGGCTTAAAACAAAATTTAAGGAACAAGTCATAATATTTATAATATGCTACTTGCTTAATGTGTGTAGACCAAGAACTTTGCTTGCAAGTTGCTGAGTAGGAGTTTTGGAGCTGTGTGGACTGTGAACTCTCCTCCAAGTGGGCCTTTATCAGTGAGGATGTTGTTTAGTGATGATGATGAAGACACGTGGGTTGTTCCTGTGAATAACATTCCTCAAGACTGGAAGGCTGGAGAAACCTATGATTCTGGAGTTCAAGTGAGCCAGTAGAGAGAATCAGAGAACATACACCACAATCACAATATGATTTGTTCATTTGCCATCTCTGTTTACTCAAGGAAATAAGTTATCATAATTATTAATAATATATATTTTTCCAATTGTCATTGTAGCTCCTATAATTAGTACTGATGGCATCTTTTTCTTTTCTTTTTTTTTTTTTAATTTTAGTGCTTAGGCAATTTATATATAAAGAATAAGTTCGACTTCTTTCAAATTCTGAGAGATTTTTCATTTATTTTTCCCATTAAACATTAATTGTATCTAATTTATTTGGAATGTAATGCAATTTAATAGTTATGTTAATTGATTTATCTATTGACAATGGCTGACCTTGTTTCAAATTTCTTTGAGAACTATACGATGATTTTTTTTTTTCTTATCTTTACCGTCATATTTTCAATTAAAAATATGACAGGCATACAATTCAATAACCAAAGGATTACATGTAGATCGTCACACAAAAAAAAGGATTACATATAGATCGCAAAAAAATGTTTATAGTTATTTACAAAAATACTATGTGTGTTATTTTATTATTGAGTCCATATATGTATATATTTGCATGTTTTTTGATGGGAGAAAATAATAATAAAAACATAAAGATTTTTGCTTTGGAAAAAAAAATAAAGAATTGAACGTAATTTTTTTTATTATTTTTAACAAATAAATGAAGACTTCTCTGTGAAAGCTGTGCCATAATTGTTTCTAAGAATTCATGAAAAGTAAATCATTCTTATTTTACTCCCAAGAATATTTTGAAAGTCAAAATTATCTTCTCCCTGTGCATGTTGAATTTTACTTTCATTTATTATTTTATCGTATTCGAATGTATTTTAAAATTAAAAAAATACTTAAATATTTTTTTCATCTCAATGGACACAAGAAAAAATAATAATAATAATAATCTTTTCTAAATTGAGTCCGACTAGAATAAAACGAAATGTGCGACAAAAACAGCTTAGAATAAAGTTAAAAAAATTAAAACCAAATAAATTAAAGAATTAAAAATACAATACAAACTAAAATTAAGGAAGGAAAAAAGTTAAATAAAATTATGATATAAAAATCAAAATTAAAGTAAGTTAAAAAACACTTTATGGAGCTAAAAGAAATTAAAAAAGGTAAAGTAAAACTTGAGGTAAAAGTTACAGAATTAAATATCTTTTCTTCCTAGGTACATATTACTCTATAACTCAATTGTCCCTTAGCAACCAATTGGCTGAGCTTTGGTTGAGAAGGGCCTGTAAACGACGTTTTATAATGAGAAGAGGAGGTAGTAGTTTGAAACAGTGAGCCTGTGTTTTGTAGACTAACAAAACAACTAAAATGATGGAAATAAATATGGGAACGACAATGTTTTTCAAAGATATCAATGAGAAACTAAATATCAAGTTGGCCAATCTTAAGAGTGTTATGGAAACAATAATTTAAAACAACCTAACCAACAACAGTCTTAACCATCACCAATCTGTTCACTGTTGCTACCTCTCTCAACTTGTATTCTGAACTCTTTTTTTCCACATTATGCTGTTTAAGTCTAGAAGACTATAATCAAAACCTTTACAGATCTTAGGGCGTCGCCAAACAAAAATAAAGAAGCAAAACGATACGAAACTCCCACACAATGCACATTCAGCAAGCACATCCACCAGACTGAGGCTGAGACTCAGTTCCACCAGAAGACTTGAGGTTCACATCAACCAAATCTTCTTGTTTTGTGGAAGATAATGTTTCCATCCCAGGTAACGCAGCAGCAATTTTCCGAAAGAGAGCCTGGATATCGGTTTGATAAAGCAATAGTGTGAGCACCAAGTATTCATAAAAACTTAAAAACTACAGAAAATTTCCAAATTGAAGACAAAAAAAAAAGCATGCCAGGTAATCCAGTAATTGACACTATAGGGTATTGGACTTATGAAAACCCTCATATGTATAATAAGTAGATGGATAAAACTTTGTTAATTTGTTGGAAATATAGAGTAATTGACTAGTGGACATTGGTCTGAGACATGAATTTCATCAGGGAAAAACTCTCCACGATTATGCATATGAACAAGACTAGTCAACAAAAAACTTTTATTTACTTGCTCTTCCATGTTAATCAAGAAGGAAAATGCATTCAACCAGAGTCCCACAAGCATGACTATTTCATTGGTCACTGTAAAAAAGAAAGTCACTGAAAATAATAAGGTGGGGCCAGGGGAGGTGAAGGTTACCTTGATATTAAAGCCAGCTTTGGCACTAGCTTCAATGAACATAACATTAAGATCACGGGCTTTTGCTTCCCCTTCCTCTGTGGAGACTTGCCTGGCAAAAAATATTTCTCATAAACAGAAGGCTAGGGTCTGGCCAACGCAAGGAGTGCAGAAGAACGTACATACAAGACGTGAGAACTAGAGTGTACACACATGGAATATCTCAACAGTCAAACCCCTTCAAGCTACTAAAGTGTCACAACAATCCAGGCCTCATTTTGAAAGGACTTCCATGAAGTATATTGGACAGTGGGAGAATAGGTGCGTATATATTTGAAAATGGGATTGGTGATGTTGGGAAGAGAGAGATCTTGTTTGAAGGAATTGAGAACATTCATTCAGAACCCACATAGACACATCCCAAAAATCTCATACTCTCACCGATACCGCCATTGCTGCCTTCTGTCTCCAACTCCATCTCAGTACTACACACACAAACACATATATATGGAGAGGGGCAAGCAATGGCCCCACCCCATCCTCAACGTCCCTCCGTCCCTGTGTATGGACAGTTTTATATGCTATTATAGCAAAAGTGAGGGGGCGGAAGGCCTACTCCCATGCAACCCGACAATTATTTTTCTACTATTCACAAGCTTCATCTATATACCAAGTAACTACCTAATGAACTTGTAAAAGGTAGAGGTCGGTCACAAGACAAAATAGAAGCACAATGAAAACAGGCCAGCATAAGCCATCACCAAAGTAGGACTTTTTTTCATTAGTCATTACCTCTTCTCAACAAGGTCAGTTTTGTTCCCAACAAGAACAATGATGACATCACTGCCCCTCTCACTTCGGACTTCTTCAATCCACTTCACTGTATTTAGGAAAGTCTGCCGGCCTATATTATCACAATAATGAATTATTAGAAAGAACCATTCAAAGTGTAATGAAATTGCCCAAAAAATGATGCACATGTGATTCAAGCCATGCAGAGAGATCCATGGTGACTAAGAATCAAAGGCTGCACCTGTAAGAGAAGATTTATAGGGTCTAGGGAGGTCCCCTGTTTATTGCCCCAGCTTTATGGTTGTAATGTTCATACACTTTTAAAAAATAAATAAAGAAACCAGTCGCTCATTATAATTCTGTCTTTCATTAGAGGGGGAAAAAAGGAAGGAAAGTGAGCTTGTTATGCTTCCCAAAATCGATATTGTCTAGAATATTCCACAAATATCTGGAAAGAAAGGGAACAGAATGAACTGCTAGTACAGGATGAAAAAGATACAAAATTTTATATGTGCCACACACATATACCTATCAGAAATCGCTCGTCTATCTTTATAAATTCTAGGGTGGAAAATACTTGCAAACCTGCCGAAGTCTAAATGAAAGACCAAAACCTATATTGGAAACTATGGCTAACCATTACTAAGATGCAAATGCTGTCAAATGAAAATGAATTAAGAAAGGAATAGGATACAGAATATATATAAAATGGCATACTTGCAACATCATAAACGATGACAGCAACAGATGAGTCCCTAATGTAGCTTGGAATAAGGCTTCTAAATCTCTCCTGTCCAGCTGTATCCCTGTCAACAAACATCAAAAGGAATGGCGCATTTGAACACAAATTGATATATACATCGATGAAATAGAATAATTCAAAAACCTGAAACCTAATATATGCCAATACCACCAATGTCATGGACCTCAGACCGATTTACCAATATGTGTTATTCTAGCACTTGAAGCAAGGCCAGACAATCAAAGCAAAATACAGACAGCAAAATATTTGCACCACAGGATGCATATTCCAAGATGCCTTATAAATATTACCATCATTCCAGAATTCAATCAGTCAATCAGAGTTAAAACCCATTTGCTTCAATCAAAAATCCAGATTTAAACAGGAGAGCACATAGAAGATTTTAAACAAGAATCACAAATATAAGATAAATTCGAAAAACCTATAAATTGGTAGAATAGCAAGAACGAATGAAGAAGAGAAAAAATATGTAAAACCATCGGAAAACATCATATCATCAAACTCCACCACTGGTGCACAGAACAAATCTTTGAAGTTAAATATATGTCCTAGAGAAGAAACAAGATAAACATCAAATTGACAAAGAGAAGTTGAAGCGTCACATCATCCTTCACCTCTTATTAAAAGGGAAGTGGGGCTTCAATATCTAAGAATGTAATGCAATTCAAAAATATCATTTTATTGTTGATTATTTATTGGTAGATTCCAGAATGACGATCCTACAACTTACCACAACTGCAGCCGAACAGTTCGGTCTTCAAGATACATAGTTTTGGATAGAAAATCAATGCCAATTGTAGCCTACATCACAAAAAGAAAAATAAGCTTTAGTACTAGAGAAAGATAAAATTGTAAACTCAATTTTAAAAGAGGGAAATGCAAATAGTATAATACCTACATGTATTCACATTAGGAGGGAAGCAATATGGAAATGGTTAATTAAACCTTATTTATATATGAACAGACTAAGCTGAAAATATGTGGAATACATTTTAATTGAAAGAATGGATTGTTTTGGTGAATATGCAAACCACAATCAATGGCTACATTGCAGATTTACCGGGAGGCAACTTAAGAGAGCGAAAGCCAAACATGAGGGGATAAAATGACGAAATTTGGAGGACAAACTAAAATTAGAAGGCAATCAAATGAGCAATGTGCACAGGAACTTTGCTTCTAATGAGAACTCGACCATCAGTAATTCAGGATTTCTGGAGCACCTATCCACTATAATAGGACTGAACTTAGGTACTATTTCTTATTTATCTTTAATACCAAGTTCTGTAATAAAAGTATTAACAAAAACAGAAACAAGTATTATCTTATTAGGTGGGGTAGGTTACATGAATTGCAAGACGCCTTATCTCTTATAAAAATATTACATGTAAAAAATTTTGATTCACCCAGTCATGTCATGCTGAGCTTTAAAATTCGTAAATTTCTCATATTTTTAGCAATAAATATTGTAGCAAACACATAAGAATAGTATATTTTTCCTCTGTTCTATCCCTCCACCAAAGCTCTCCTTGAGTTGCCTTGTGACCGTCAAATATTTCACTTGGTTGATCTTCCTGAGAAAGAATGACTTGGATCGGATAACTAGTGGGTTAATGTACCTAAAGAAGAATATCTCAAGTCACAGAGATGTCTTCTATAGTTCTGTTAACAGAAACATTGATCGAAATTAGCAGGACCCACAGCCTAAAAGTTACAATGTTAGTTTTTCAAAAGGTCATTAACCATCGCAGAACTGAATGAAATGTCACAGAGGATAATCGTGATCGCTTTAAGCTGTCCTGAAAATGAATCTTACACATGATCAGCTATAATCGTTGTCGGCATTAAGCAGAACACACAACATCGATGATACTCAGTTGGCTGTCTTTACATTTCATATTTCCTCCGGAAGGCACGATCTCCGGGGGATAAATTACTAGCGTAATAATGCATATTCACAATGTTCTCAGTTCAATCACGCAGCTACGTCTGACTATCAAACAAACATGGATTTACAAAGTCCCATCCGAACTCCCAAATTCATAAGCTCTTCAGATTCCAATCACAGCTAAAGAAAAAAAGCAACAAGCAACTGTATTTTTTGCATAGAAAAAACTGGATCTGTGTGTTAGGACAAATACCTGATATGTGGTATCAAATTTATCATACATAAAACGGGTGATGATACTGGTTTTCCCCACGGACTGATCTCCCAAGAATACCAGCTTGTACTTTGCTAGAGCTGACACTGGCGCCATTTTACTGATACAGAGAGAAAATTAAGAGTGTAACAACACAGTGGTGTGTATCAGCCGGGCACGAACGCCGATTCCGAATTGTTTGTTCGGTTTGGTCTGATCCCGGTAAGCGAGAACGCCGAGATTTGCTACAATCCGAATGATCTGAGCGTAAAATCGAAAAACCAAAAACGCTACAAAACTAGGATTGGTTTAGTGGAATTGGAGAGCCCAAAAAAAAAAAAAAAAACCATTTCACTGTGCAACTTTTTAATAAGTTCTTTAAAATTTAAATCACGAAATAGTTATGTGATTTATCATTTATGTCCCTGTGATCTGAGTTGTCAGTCGTCACCTTCCGATTTCTATTTGATGGTGGAAATTTTTTTTAAAATACCAATTTTAAAAAATGGGGTGCGGATCTACCAATGTCCGAAGTGAAATGAGTAACGTTACAAATAAAAAAGTTAAATTATTACTAATAAGCGGTTAGTTGAAATAACATTGATATTTCCGGCTCGGTAGAAATTAGCCCCAAACCAGAATGATTTGAGGATATTCTGAGTTGCATGAAAAAAAAAAGCTAAATTATTATATACTAGTACAATGATAAGGTTAAAATGGATTATATTTCTTTTATTTTCCTTTTCCTTTTTAATGGGACTGAACTATTTATTTTTGGAAAAATTCCAAAAATATATTTTTAAAATTTCAAAATCTCAAACAAAAAATAAAAATGTGTTGTTATTTATTTTTCAAATGTTGTGTCAATTGTTCTTAAAGTATAGTGAATAACACTAATTTGGAATTTTAAAATTCAAATTTTTTTATTTTTCTTTATTTATCTTTTTGTTACTAGCAACTATTTATTTTTTTTCTTTTATTCTTTTTGGCGAGGGTTATGAGTTTAGAGGATTGGGTGAGCAATATTATAAAACTATATTTGCTACTGAACATAAGATCTAGTTAATTAATTTTAAAAAAATTAAAAAGTTATTAAATTATTTTAAAATATTCATATTTATCGCTTTTCTCCAAACTAATTTGACTCACTTATAAGTTATATATAATCTAATCATATAAATAAATATCTTAAAGAAATCATGTAATATTTATTATAATTAAGTATTTAGTAACTTTCTTAAGTTCTTTAAATTAGCTAATTAAATCTTATATTAAGAACAGAAGGTAGTGTAAAACTCAATATTTGTCTTTGCATAATGCTTGATATATCATATGAGGATGAACTATATAGCTAATGCCATGTTTGCCTCAAAATAGCTTCAGCATCAAGAAATCCACCAGGCATTCCATGTTAACCTAATCTTATAAATTAAGGACACACGACATTCTAAAGTCTGAACTAAACGAAATAGTTGAAACATATATATTAAAGGTCTTCAAATCCCATCTTTTTCCTCCTTTCCATATTCGCATGATGAATATATCTCTCCGTCGTCCCTCAACTCCTGCTATCATCTGAGGAACAAGAAGACGGAAGCAGAGCTGAAGATTGATGGAGAATATATTAAGAAGGCGTTACTGGGGTAGACATTTGGATGATACAAAGAGAAATCCCGCATAACTGGAAGAGATTGTAATTCTCCTTCGTCAGCGGAGACACTTCGCCTGTCTCTGCAAACCCTCTCTGGCACGTCGAGGCGGCTTCCATGACGGAGCTCATCCCAGTCTTGGTCGACTCATAATTCTCAGACAAGAAAGCTCCGATGGAGCTCATGATCCTCCACGCCGCATCAGAATACAGCTCCAAGCAGTCTCTCAGGCAAGCCCTCGACGACGACGTCGCAAGGTTTTCATCATCCATGAGCTTTTCAATGGTGGAACGTGTGGTGGTTGCGTTCTCCAGAGCCAGCTCCATGGCGATCAAGGCCAGCCCTTGAAGATTCGCAGCATGGCTAACTGGAATCACCCCAAGAGCCGACGAACATAAGCCGTAGTTCAAGATGATGGATTGGTTCTCACATTTTTTGCAGGTTTGGTCGATCAGGTCATTACAGGGAGTTGCAGCTACTGCAGAAATTGTAGTGACAAAGAAGAAAAGGAAGAGAAGAGAAGACTGAGACATTATTAGTTAAATATATGGTTTACACTAGCTGATGCAGAGCTAGTTAAAGAGGGAATATATACGGTTCATATATATATACGTGTGAGGGATTTGGCTAAGTGGGAAGGAAATTTCCTACTTGCTGAGTAGATTTTTAAATTTTATGGATGATCCAGTGGAGGAAGCAGAGAGTAGTGTCTTGCTTTTTACGTCTTGTTATGAAGATAGTACTGTTAAATGGCGCTTTCATGGGAAGGGTTTTAAGCTAGAAGCTTCCTAGGAAGGTTTCATTCACAAAACGTCCAGTTTTTTCATGTTTATACTCTGTGCGGTTCTATATATAAGCTTTAAATTTAGAGAAAATGTTATCCGTTTTATAAGATTCAATTTTGATTTGTCTTAACATTTAATACATTTTTTTAATTTTGTTCTTAATTATTTATTCTTTTTCTTTTGTCATACTCTCTCTTACCACATTTCCCCATACATTCTTTTTTATTTTTTTATCATTTATTATAGGGGCATATTTAAAATATATATATAAATAGGATAAAGTGTTTGAATATTCCAGAAGTATTCATGAAAGAGCACCCAGTATTTTAAAAAAAAATTTTTGCTCTTATATGCTCCGGAAGTTATTTTGTAGCATTTCTGTCTTAAATTGTTATCTGCTATTAAGTTTGACCATTAAAAACACTGGTCAAACTACATAATTTAACAATCAAACTTAATAGCAAATAACTGCTAGGGTGTTTTTGCTACGAAAATAATATGCTAGATGCTCCTTAAGTATATTTTTAATCTATTTATTATTTTTAACTAATTATTTGTTATCTATAAATTATTTATTTGAAATTTATAATAACCACAGGATGAAGTATTCTTTAAGCATGTAACAAGTCTTCTTTTTCTTTCTTTCTTTCCTTCAACAGGAGTCTTTTTTTTTTCCCCGTAAAATGACCCAAATGATTAACAACTCTTTGCGCTTAAAATATATTATGAGAATGGACATTCATGCACCAGTTTGGAGTCTCTAGTATACCACACTCTAATGTGTTTTGTAATTTCTTAACCTTTAAAATATTTTCTCTTAATTATTAAATTCTATGTAAAATGATTATATTTTGATATGTTATGGATATGAAATACTCCCTCCGTTCCTTATTATAAGAGACATTTGATGCTTATGGCATGTTCCCATATATAAGAGACACTTAAAAGTTGTCTCTAGTTTTTTGTATTGATTTCCTATTTTACCCCTATTTATTTTGTCTCCTACTCATACTCTCTCCCCCTCCCACTTCTCTTTTTTTAATAATTTAATTGTTTTCTCTCATACTCTCTCTCCTTATTAATAGGGGTATTGTTGGAAAAAACATTATACTTTTTACACATTAATTGTCCTCGACTAATTTTAACTGTTTTTTTGATCAACATAATTTGGTTATTTGTTTCTTATAATAAGGAACGGAGTGAGTAATACAGATTTATTGTTTACTATGATTTTTCAGAGAAAAAACACCCTAAAATTGATCTATTATGATTTATTTTTTAAAAAAAATCATAAAAAATATTTGAAACCACAACATTTCATGCCTATAAGATATAAGAATGCCACTAATTTTAAGTACAATCTAATGGTGAAAAGCAAAAAAAATTTAAAAGTTGAAATACTACAAAAAGATATTAGAAAGCATTAAAGAAAGGCACATTTTAGACCCCAAGCTCCTCATACACACAAAAAGCGGAAAACAAATTGAGCAACACTAGTAATGATGATGATGATTGCTACCAAAAAAAGCAAGTGTTGAAAAGAACGGGAATTAAAGAGCGGGGACCTTAAAAGACCATCGATACTTTCCATAGGCGCGGAACCTCTCCACTTAAACTCCTCAATTGATTAAATAATTGTCAAATCAAAATACATTTTAGCATTTTGGGATCATTTGGCTTTTGACAAAGTGGGTGAACTTATCACTTCTTGAAGTTAACGGTAGATGATCGATCTAGTGTACACACATTTCAACAAATAACTTTAAAAGGCCATCGATAATTTCCATAGACACATAACTTTGAACTTTACAAATTCATCATTTTATATGATTCCACAATGCTAAGAGCAGAGATATCGGTAATTTGCTATGGCAGAGAGTCACTATCAAGAGCGCTGTTTCTGCATCTGGATGAAAGCCAAAGACATTGCGTTGAGCTCAAAGTATGTATTGTTGTCTTCTGTTAAAGGAGACGTTTCATTCCCATCCTTGAATTGGTCTTCACAGGTACTAGAAGAACTCATTTCTGCGCTTATCTTGGTACTTGCTGAGTTGAAATCTTTGGACTTTAAAGCTCCAATGGCGTCATCCAAATCTAAAACAGAGTCTGAGTAAAGTTCAGAACAATCTTGTAAGCATTTCTTGGCATAATCACTGAACTCGGGATCCTTCAACAGACTGGAAATGGTGGAAACTATGTTGGTTGCATTGGACTTAGTTATCTGAACTGACATGTCCACGAGTTCCTCAAGTCTGCTTGGTGGGTTCTGGGAGATGGCTTCAAGGCTTGAAACGCAGAAACCATAGTTGATGTTTGGGTCATCTTTTGATGCGTTTCTGCATGACTCAGGAATAAGATCAGAGCCAGAACTTGAGACTTGAAATACAAATAAAATCAGTAGGAGTAGGATCAGATCAAAGGCCAGCTTCATTCTGTTGTTTGTTTTTCTCTCTGATTTTCTGTTGGCTTCAGAATCGGAACTTGGAATGTACAGAAATATGAGAAATGATAGATTGGCCAGGTCCATTCACTGATTGACAGATTGGAATATTAATTGATATGTCCCACTAATTCTCAGACGTCCCACTTGAGTAAAACCATGAATTTAATGCACAGTAATTCATACTTGAGGATTTAGCAGGCCTAGACTAATTCAGATTGAGGAATGATTTCTCAAAATCGGGTTAATTTCTTCTTAGCTTGTCCAAACAAACCAACAAAGCACCACAAAGTCACAAACAAGTTGTTCCTCCACTTCTCATAACCTTCATTCTTACTGTTCTAAAAGGTTCCACGTGAAGCAGTCCCAGAATTCAGAATCACAGAAGGGTCAAATTCATTCTCAACGCATCCACTTATCCAAGTTCAATCACAATAAGCTTGTTTTGGAGTTCATGGTGGAGGATTGGTGTAACTACTTTTCTTATATATATAGGATGGCAAGATTTAATCTTGAAAGTTATAACAAAAGAGAGAAACAAAAAACAACCACAAGTCGAATTCCAATGTGAAAGTCAAATGCAACATCAGTAGACATCATAGTACAAGACAAGTACAGAGAAAGATATCGCACGTTGCCGCCCATTTCAAAAACTGTACTCTTTCGATCCTTAATATAAAACCTATTTAATTAATTTAATGAGATTAAAAAAGTTAGATAAGTTAGTTAATTATAAAAAATATGACATGTTTTTTTAAAATACCATAATCATCTTTTTAATACCCTCATTTCCTCTTCTACTTGATTATGGTTGAAGGAATATTCACATAGGTAATTTAGAAAAAATTGATAAATAGGTCTTATATTTAGGATCAAAATCAACTCAACAATTAATTAGGTCTTATATTAGGGACCGGAGGAGTACTATTTGTGCATCTTGATAAAAGCCAGAGACATTGCGTTGAGTTCAAAGTAAACTTTTTTGCCTCCTGTTAAAGGAGACTTCTCTTTCCCTTCCTTGAACCGGTCTTCACACGTAGCAGAGGCATTCATTGCTGCACTTATCTTGATATTAGCAGAGCTGAAATCTCTGGACCTGAAAGCACCCAAGGCGTCGTCCAAATCTGAAAGAGAGTCTGAGTAATTATCAGAACAATCTTTTAAGCATTTCTTGGCGTAGTCACTGAACTCGGGATCCTTCAAGAGATTGGAAATGGTGGAGATTATGGTAGTTCCATTGGCCTTGGTTATCTGAATGGACTTGGCTACAAGCTCTTCGAGACTAGTGGGTGGACTTGGGGACTTGGCTTTAAGGCTCAGCGCAGAAATCATAGTTGATGTTTGGGTCTGCTTTTGAGGCGACTCTGCAAGATTCATTAATGAAATCGGAGCCAATTGAGACTTCCAACACAGTCAAAAACAGTAGGAGATGGAAGCCAAACTTCATTCTGTTTATTTGATCCATTTTTTTAAAGAGAAAATTAATCTTGCAGTCCTTATAGTTTCATCATGTTTTGAATTGAGTCCTTGTAGTTTTTTTTTTTCTTTTTATTGAATCCTTAATCTTTACACCGTTAATGATGCCTATCCTCATTGTTAATAAAACCGTTAGTTTACTTGAGAATGGATTACGTGGCATCTAAACCCATCGTCTTTTTCAGTCAACCTCTCTTCGCTTCTCTCCCTCCCTCTTCCTCTCAGTCTACCTCTGCTCTCGCACAACTATTAAGATGTTATTATCATGGTGATTCTTTCATTTCTCTTAAAATTAGGTGTTCTATTTAGAACATGATGCCTTCTAGAATGTTTGAATAACATGACGCTTTTGATGTTTAAAAATAAGCCCATAAAAGTGATGGCCAAGCAAATGAGAAGAATGACGATGCCATGACTTTTGGGCATCTTCTTCTTCTGCAACGTTGCATAAGTATCAGCAAAAGCAGTAGAGGGAGGAAGAAGAAGAAGGGAAGAGGAAATTCATTGCACCTCTCTTGTTCCAATTTTTTATTTTGAGAGCAAGTGAAAGTGAGAAGGGGGGTGGAGAGGTTATAAGGAGGAAGAAAGAGCGGTGAGGGTGGAAGGAATAATTGCATGCAGATAGTGGTGTGAGAATGGAGGTAGATTGAGAGGAGGAGGAAGAGAGAGAGAGAAGCTAAAGGAGGTTGACCAAAGGAGAGGATGGGTTCAGATTGCCACATCATCCATTCTCAATTAAGCTAACAGCTTTATTAATAGTAAGGACTAGTATTATTAACGGTTGCAACATTAAGGATTCAATAAAAAGAAAAAAAACTAGAAGGACCTAATTCAAAACCTGATAAAACTATAAGGACTGTGATATTAGTTTTCTTTTTTTTAAAGATATGAGCTTGGTGTATATGGGGAGAGGAAAATTAGTATTAAATGGCCATATCCTATGCCATTAATGTTGCAAATTAAATATTAGTAATTGATACATATATCATTGGGTTTTGATCATAGCATTAATTTTATCCCTCCTTATTTAGCATTAATGATTTATGTTACAGAGTATTTGAAACAATGAAATAATGAAATCCGACATTAAGGACAGCAGAAGTAATTAGAATGAAAAATGAAAAAAAAAAAAAAAAGAGCAGATGAAAGAAATAAAAAAGCAGGACCAGCCAATCAATTTTTAACTTCCTAGCAGTACTTTTGTTTTTCATCACTTTGGAGCCCGTTCCCCTTCCTGGGTTATTTTTCCCGGCGATGTAGAGATATTTTGAAACTTTAGTGCTCCTTTGTTAAATGGTGAGATATTAAAAAGGAAAAAGACAAAAGAATTAGCTAACCTCAATTGAATTCTATTACATAATTTTTTGATATATGAATATTAAAATGTTGAAAATGAGCAATCTGGTTTATGATTTTCAATTAAGTTGAAAAAATATTTTCTTGAAATGAAGTGCACAAACTTTTTTTTTAATAAAAAGAAAAATTTTATTTTGTAAAAAAAAAAAACAAGTCAAAAGATACGTGACTAAAAAACCCCCTTTACACAGATAACACCAATGAAGCATAAGGTAATAGGAAAACAAACTTTAACTTTGACACAACTTTATTAGCATTTAAGTCAATTCATTTTTTGAAAATAATATTTATTAAGTTATTAACTATAATTACAAACCTCAGACTATTAAAAGAAAAAATGACATAAAAACAAATGTTGAATTTCAAAATGATAAATATGTGATTTTGACATATTTTAAAACGTCAAAACCATTACAAAAGTACTTAGCATAAGCAATTTATCTTTTTGAATTTTTTTTAATTTTTATTTATTAAAATAAGTAATTAATGGGACAAAATAAGAAACAAGAAAACTTGAGACATCTATCTTACAAATATTTCTTATAATAGGGACAAGATAAAGATGAGAGTTGTTTTTGACAAAAAATGACAGAAGGGGAAGTAGTGTCCTCTCAAGAGAATTATTTATGCATCTTGAGAAAGGCCTGTGACATTGCATTGAGCTCAAAGTACACTTTGTTGTCGTCTGTTAAAGGAGACTTTTCTTTCCCTTCCTTGAACTGATCTTCACAGGTAACCGAGACACCCATTGCTGCACTTATCTTAGCAGTTGCAGAGTTGAAATCTTTGGACCTGAAGGCACCCAAAGCGTCACCCAAATCAGAAAGAGAGTCTAAGTAATGATCAGAACAATCTTTTAAGCATTTCTTTGCATAATCACTGAACAAGTGGTCCTTCAAGAGAATGGAAATGGTGTAAACTACGTTAGTTGCTTTGGACTTAGTCATCTGAATTGTCATGGCCACAAGCTCTTCCACACTACTGGGTGGACTCGGAATCATGGCCACAAAACTCGCCACGCAGAAAGCATAGCTGATGTTTGGGTCTTCTTTTGAGGCTTCTTTGCAAGATTCAGTGATGAGATCGGAGCCACTACTTGAGACTTTGAACGCAGCCAAAATCAGTAGGAGATAAAAGGCCAACTTCATTATATTATTCTGTTTTTTGATCTAGTTTTAATTCTCTCTTCTCAGTGATTTTATATGTGGGTGTCAGAATTGAACTTGGAAATTGGAATATATAGATGAGAAAATGAGGACTTGGAATATCCAATGCCATTAATGTGTGTTGGAATATCAGAACTATTTATTGATGGACCATTGGCTTTTGAAAATAGCATTAATTCTTTGTATTATTTAAAATAATGAAAAAGGCTGCTCTTTCAAAATGATGACCAAATTTAAAGAGGAGTTGATCTCGAATTTACTTTCCTTTTTGAACTTTACTTTCTTCTTAATTTTCACTTTATTTATTAATTAGATTAAATTTAAACAGTTTAGATCTAATATTTGGCAAAATGAATTCCTTCTATTTTTATTATAAACTTTTTTAGCCATTTAGATTTTTTTTTACTTTTTTTTATGTATTTTTATAATGTACTAATAATTTTTAAAAAATACTAATTTTTTTAGCAAACTATAAAATATGAAATTTGAAGTTAAAAGTTAATCTAGCAGTTCAAACGAAAATCGGAGAAGAAGTTCTTACCAAAAAATTTAGAGAAGTGGATGGGCGAAAAGTGGATAGTTTGGTATATGATTTTCAACATCCTGGCAATTAGCATAAAAAAAATAAAGACCTAAATATAAAATAAAGGAAAAGTGCACCTCACATCCTGATATTATTTTTTAGGTATACCTAACATCATAATTTTTTTAGTAGCGCAATTTTACCCATAATCCTTAAATTTGGTGCAATCTTACCCCTATATATTTATTTAAAACTCAAATCACCCTCTCCTTAATTTATATTCATTTTAACATTCAAATAAATAATGTTGGCTCCTTTATCAGATTATTAGCAACTTTCATATCAAGTAACCAAGTTATAATCACATCAAAAAACTGGAAAATGGGTGAGATTACTCCAAATTTAATAGATCATAAATAACATTATAATCTGAACTCCGAGGGAGATGAACAAGAGTGCGCAAGGGGAGGGTGAGACGGCACAGTCGTTAGAAGAGGCTGACGCGCTGGCGAGGAGTCGGAAAAAAGTGAGAACAGGCGATGCGGTAGTGGTGTACGGACGTCCGGTGGTCCCACGTGAGGAGGAGTGGATGACTGATGATACGGGGCCTATGGAGTCAGAGACTCCAAGGAAATCGTACCGTGAAGCGTGTGCGAATACTGATGGGCTGAGCAGTGAAGATGAGGAGGAAGAGGGATGGTGGTTCGATGAGGGGTGGCGAAGAAGACTGAAAGTCGAGAACACGGACAGGGGACCCAATGTAATTGTGTTACCTGAGTTCAAAAAGAAGCTTGCGAGGAAGTGGAGACTCACGCTGTTCGTTAGATTGTTAGGACGGATGGTTCGTGAAGACTATCTGGGAATGAAACTACAGCAGATTTGGGGGCATAATGGTGATGTCGAGATGTTGGAGTTTGGTGCAGGATACTTCATTGTTAATTTCAAACACCAAGATGACTATGAGTTCGCATTAACTGGTGGACCATGGCTCATACTGGACCACTACCTAGCAGTGCAACCATGGAAGCCAGACTTTGATCCTGTTGAGGAGGAAGTTTCGAAGATTGCAGCTTGGGTGAGGATTCCGCAGTTCCCTTTGGATTATTATGATCTGGGTGTTCTCTATGTAGTTGGTAATCAAATCGGTCGAGTTCTGCGTGTAGACAGGAATACTGAACATCGGTCAAAGGCACGCTTTGCAAGACTTTGCGTTGAGCTAGACCTTCAAAAGCCATTACTACTAGCTATTTTGATCAATGGAAAAGAGAAGAAAATCGTGTATGAAGGGTTGCACCTTATATGCTTTGGTTGTGGCAAGTACGGTCATGACCAAGACCATTGTCCTAGTCGTCCCGATGAGAGCTGTGGTCAAGGCAAAGATAGTCGTAATACAGGAGCTAAACCCACGACGGCGCCGTCATACCCAGAACGAGAGAAAGGCACACCGTATGGTGGTTGGATGGTGCAGGCGTCTCGCCGCAATCAGCGGCGCCAGTTTCGGTTTCCAAATCGCAGAAGCCCCGATAATCAAGAGGTTCAAGGTGCTGAAAATCAGGGGAATAGTAATCAAGGAGGAATGGGATCCCGATTCTCAGCCTTATCGACGGAAGAAGATAATGTATCACAGAATGAGAATCACGTAAGGATGTTGGGCAATCAGATGCATGATACTACTAATGATTTGAAAGCTAAAAATAAGGGGAGCAAATCACGTGGAATACCAGTGGGACCCAAATCAAGGGCTATAAGTGGGATTACCCCTAAAGAAAAAGATACGGGCCATAATAAAGCAAAAGTTAGCCCAATGGAGGAGCACACACGGGTCAGAGCACAAGTGGACTTGTCTAAGGAAAATATCAGGAGTATGGCTTCATCGTCTTCAGCCTTAGTACCTGTCATGTCCGATATTTCAAAGGTCCACGCTACGCACATGGAGACCAAGTCCCACGCAATTATTCCCTACCAAGAAATTGCCTCGTCATCGGTTAATCCGGTGGCAAGTAATCCCATTGACCCAGGTGCAGAAGCAGGGGAGGGGTGCATTATTCGTTCAAATCTGTTGTTAGAAGGTGGAACTGAGGATACTGTCGTGCTCGATGCGGCAACAAGCGAGGCCGTAAATTGTTGAGTCTCTTCTTGTGGACGCCCATTCAAAACCTTTGTGTTTCCTATGGATAGCAACCTACTCATTTGGAACTCACGAGGAGTTGGAGGTAAAATATTTAGTCGTCTGCTGTGTGATATTCGAAATCGGCATCATATTGGGCTTCTAGCTCTTCTTGAACCATGACAAAAGAATGATAAAGCCTTACACCTTTCACAACGTTTGGGTTGGAAGAATAAGGAACTTGTAGACACCCGAGGTTTTGGTGGTGGGATCTGGGTGTTCTGGAGTGATTCTTTTGAGTTCTCAGTGGACTATAAAACGGACTACTTCATGCATGGTACAGTAAATAGAGGTAAAAATGATGAGTGGGCTCTTACCATAGTATATGGGGACCCGAGATACTGCAAACGTCGTTTCCTTTGGCAAGGACTCCAAGATTTAACTCGCGTCATTTCAGGTTGTTGGGTTGTGGCCGGTGATTTCAATGCTACTCTTCTCCAGGAGGATCGTCAAACACTGACAGGTAGATATGTGCCTCCTGAGACAGCCTTTTGTAGATGGGTAATGGCTAGTGATATGCGAGATATTGGGTTTAGCGGACCCAAGTTTACTTGGCGTAGGGGAGCTAGTGCTAGCCGTATTGATCGGGTTCTAGTGAACTATCAATGGCACGACACTTTCATGAATGCCTCTGTGATTCACCTCCCCATGTATAAATCGGACCACTGCCCTCTTCTAGTCAAAATGGTATCCTCAGCTAGGTCTGCAGCACGCAATCGGCCCTTTCGGTTTCTTGCTCCTTGGGTCATGCATGAACAGTTCTCCCCTTTCGTTAGAACAACGTGGCCTCAACAAGGGGATTGGGCGGAAAATATTCCCAAGTTTACCAAGGAGCTCGTTCGATGGAATAGAGACGTATTTGGGAATATTAACAAGAGAAAGGAACAGCTACATCGACGCCTAGAACATCTTGACAGGAGGACCACTTACACGGGGTCTACTATCCGCCTAGAACAGACTCGAAGGGAGTTATGGGTGCAGTTAGAGGAAGTACTTGCTCAGGAGGAAGTTATGTGGTTGCAAAAATCACGGTGCAACTGGTACCAACATGGTGATCGAAATACACGCTACTTCCATAGTGTGGCTAATAGTAGACGCCGGAGAAATAGAATCGAGGCCCTCAAGCTTGATTCAGGAGAATGGTCTTATGATTCCAAAGTGATTATGGAAATGGGTACAAAGTTTTTTTAGTCCCTCTACTCTGAGGAACCTGACACAGGAAACTCAATTATTTTTGATGTGGGATACCCCGTGATTGACAACGTTCAACTAAACAACTTGGGCAGACAAATTAATAATATTGAGATTAAACGAGCTTTGTTTGACATGAGTCCTCTCAAAGCACCAGGGCCGAATGGCTTGAATCCCCTCTTTTTCCAAAGTCAATGGGATGTGGTAGGTGCCAGTGTTAGTAGAAAGGTGGAAGAGATTTTTCAGGATCCGACACGCGTGAGAGATATTAATGATACACAGATAGTGCTAATCCCAAAGACGGAGACGCCGCAAACCATTCGGGACTTTCGACCGATAAGTTTGTGCAATGTTATATACAAGATGGTGACCAAGATCATAACTAACAGACTCAAGGAAATTATGCCCAAGATTATTGCCCCTAATCAATGTAGCTTTGTGAAGGGGAGACAGAGCACGGACAATATTATTCTAGCTCAGGAGATTATTCACTCAATGAAGAAGAGGCGGAAGACGAGAGGCTTTATGGCTATTAAGATTGATCTAGAGAAAGCATACGATAGGGTTCGCTGGAACTTTATTTTTGACTGTTTGAAAGAGTTGTGTATCCCCCCTTACATTCGCAGGGTAATAGAAGCTTGTGTGTCTTCTCCCACTATGCAGCTTCTCTGGAATGGTGAGAAAGCCAATCAGTTCCAACCTTCTCGAGGTGTCCGGCAAGGGGATCTCCTGTCCCCATACCTTTTTGTCATTGCTATGGAGAAACTTGGTCACATCATACAGGGGGAAGTTGATCGGGGTGAATGGAGGCCTTTTAGGCTTCATCAGAAAGGAACAGCTATTTCTCACTTGTTTTTTGCAGATGATCTTCTTCTATTTGCAGAAGCTGATATGGAACAAGCAGGGCTCATTAAAGCTATCTTGGATGATTTCTGTATGATCTCTGGTCAAAAAGTAAATGCATCCAAGACCAGAATCTACTTCTCGGAGAATGTTAATCACATGAGAAGCAAGGAGATGAGCGAGTTCTTAGGTTTCCAGTCCACGGCTAATTTGGGCAAATACCTCGGCATGCCGCTGTATCATGAACGTGTGTCAAAAGATACCTTTCAATATATTCTGCGCAAGATGGAGTCAAGACTTTCAGGTTGGAAGGCGAATGCTCTGTCATTTGCAGCCCGTCATACTTTGGTGTCGTCTGTGGTATCTGCTTTACCCAATTATGCGATGCAAACTACACCACTTCCTATTGCTGTATGTGATGAAATCGATAAAAGATGTAGACGTTTTCTATGGGGCGACACGGCCACAAGTCGGAAACCACATCTTGTCTCTTGGGACACTGTTTGTCGTAGCAAATCTGACGGAGGGCTCGGTTTAAGGCGTGCGTCGGATCAAAATGCCTGTTATATGGTCAAGTTGGGTTGGGGTTTAGTGAAACGCCGTGATGCACTGTGGGTGAGGTTTTTGCAGGAGAAATATAAATGTGGGGTGGATCTTATTCCTAAAGTCGAGAAAAGGTGTAAATGCTCAAGGATGTGGTCGGGCATCTGCTCTATGTGGGAGCACACTAAACAGAGTGTGAGATGGCAACTGGGTTCAGGCCAAGAAGCTAATTTTTGGACTGATAGGTGGGTCCCACGAGGTACCCTGTTGAAGGATGCTGCTGTTCGGGATATTCCCGATGACGTCATTCGTTGGAAGGTTGCTGATGTTATATCGGCTTCCGGCTGTTGGGAGTATTCGAAGCTTGAACAATTCCTCCCAGCTAATGCTATCGCTGATCTTCATCAGGTTAGCGTTCCTTGTAGTGAGTCTGCTGATATCCCTGTTTGGATGTGGACGGCAGATGGTAGATTCTCTTTGAAGTCTACGTATCAATCTCTATGGCCTGTACTTGGGCATGTGCAACAGAACTTTTGGCGGCACTTATGGAAACTTCGAGTTCCACAACGGTGCCGAACGTTTCTTTGGCTTAGTGCTAGGAACAGACTTACTACTAATGAGGCTCGGATGAAGAAGGGGCTGCATGACTCAGGCCTATGCGAGATATGTGGCCTTACTACGGAAACAACGATTCATGTGCTTCGCGACTGCATTAACGCACGACAAGTTTGGAAGCTAATTGTACCAGTGAGGAGGCAAAGCAAATTCTTTCGGGACAGCGATGTCACTGATTGGATCAGATGGAATATTGCTAACAATGACTCTGTGGATAATTTTGAGTGGAAGCAATGGTTCGCAATAGTGTGCCGGGCTCTCTGGCTTGCTCGTAATGATAAAATTTTCAATGGAACTTCTCAACATCCCTTTGACATCCTCGCTCGGACCAGAGCTTGTCTCAACTGGAATAAGCCGTCCCTTTCTTCCCAGCAATCAGAAGGTGTGCTTAAATGGACCCCTCCCTATGAAGGATGCATCAAATTTAATGTAGACGGTTCCTTTGATACACAGAGATATACCAGAGGCTGTGGGGGCGTGGCTAGGAATCACAGGGGCGAAGTGGTTTGTGGTTTTCTTCACCGCATGATGGAAGGTTCGAGTCTCTCGTCTGAGATATTCGGAATCTTGTGGGCTCTGAAGGTAGCTTGGGAGCATGGGTTCAGAATGGTGGAAGTGGAAAGTGATTGCATTGAAGCAATTACTGCTATCCTTTATGGGGTGGACGAGGAACATCCGGATGTGGTCACTGTTTCCGAGATTCAATGTATGATAAACAGAGATTGGGAGGTGGAGATCAAGTGGTGCCACAGGGACGTAAATGGCATCGCGGACGCTCTAGCTAAATTCGCTACGTGCATGGAAACTGAACTCGTCATATTCGCGGAGGTACCTGATTGGCTGCGACATGTGTTTGGAAAAGAATGCTTCAGTAGGAACCCAAATGTTAGTGTGTCTATAAGTCGCTAGTTATGTCTGCTGCTTTGTACTATCAAAAAAAAATAAATAACATTATAATATAAGAAGATTATGGTGTTGGGTGCACATGATAAATGAAATTAAAACGCAGGGTGCACCTTTACCTTATGGAATACACAGCTTCATTGATTGAATAGCTTAAGTGCTTAATATACACCTGAATTATTAATAAAGTCAAAGTGATTTATAAAAAGGGGCTGGGAAAAATAAAACTTATATTCGTAGGTTTCCGTCTAAACTCTCAGCTGCTTAATTAAATTGTCGGATTAAAATCAAAATCTGAAGTTTTTGAGCTAGTCTTACATATTAGTTTGGCCAAAAGAAAAGAAATAATCTTATATATGAGAACCCAAAAGCATGTTTGCATTCATCAAGCCTAAACAAAAACTTCAAAAGTACACACACATGCACAAATTTCAACATAACAAATGAAGACAATAGATCATTTCCACATAAACTAATTCTAAAACTGTACAATTTAATCATTCTATATGATTTGATTATATGTGTAGCTATATGTACAATACCCTAGACGGCATAATAGCACAGAGAAATTAAAGATATATAAAATCACTACTGATGAATCTTGATGAAAGCCAGAGACATTGCGTTAAGCTCAAAATACGTCTTATCATGCTCTGTTAAAGGAGACTCTTCGTTCCCGTCAGTGAATTGGTTTTCACAGGTCACAGAAGCTTCCATGGCCGCGCTTACCTTCATACTCGCTGTGTTAAAATCTTGAGACTCAAAAGCTCCCATGGCGTCATCCAAATCAGCAAGGGAATCTGAGTAAAGATCAGAACAATCTTTCAAGCATTCCTTGGCGTATTCACTGAACTGGTTGGGCTCCTTCAAAAGATCGGAAATGGTGGAAACTATGTCTGTTGCGTTGGACTTTGTTATCTGAATCGACATGGCCACAAGATCTCCAAGGCTGGTTGGTGGATTGCTCTGAGAGATCACGGCCTCAAGGCTGGCGACGCAGAAATCATAGTGAACGATTGGATCATTCTCCGAGGCCTTCGTGCAAGATTCTCGAATGAAATCGCAGCCATTTGAAGCTTGAAACAGAATCAATAATACGACGAAACTTGAAGGATAAAGAGTCATAAACTTCATTCTTCTTCTTGATCTTCTTGTGTGTTGTTTCGGACTATGTGGCTCTCAAACGGGGCTGTGTCTATATATATGGGTTGAAAATTTGAGCTTTTTCTGGTGGGATTTGAGAAGATTATTATCTGCGGGCTTTTGCAGTTGTGGTTTGGTTGATTAGATACGCATGCACGTAAGATTAGTCGGAAATCGCAAGAAAAATGGTACCGAATTTAACAGAAATCTGACGTGTTAGTTAATTTGACTCGTTTTAGTTTCCCTTTGTTCCAAAAGAGAGAGAAAAAGGAATCCTTGTTGTGCCTTGTAAGTTACAACTACGTTGCTGCTCAAGTTATATCCCCTGCGAAGTTGGATTTTGCGGTCCATACATGTGGATATGTGGGTGAAATTGTCATGACTTCAAAGTTTGGTTCTTAGAGCTTCATTAGAAGGCAATGAATGAAAAAGGCGAGGAGACAAGTCGCACGCACGCACGCACGCACAGAGAGAGAGAGAGAGATTTTTTGCATTTATAAGGTGTTTGGATGAAAACCAAACCATGGTTTTAAAAGTGTTTTTACAGTATGCGAGGTAAATATGTGAAGGAGTTTGTCTCGATTTGCAGAAAAGTGCTTTTAAAAAGCACTTATGGGAGAATCCAAACACCCCCTTAATGGAAAAGGCAGGGGTAGAAGCTTGGAGCGAATTTTGAGGCCATGATCTCTTCATGTCCAGGTGAAATCAGTTTCATTACAGTGATAAGCGTTATAATACTTATCAAATCTTAACTATTCAAATTTAATTTTAACGGCCTTGATTTAATATTTAATATTTTTTAATAGGTATATAATCCAAAATAAATGTAATTTTTTAAAAAAATAAATTTTTTATTTAAAAATCATTAGTTAAAAATTTTAAATATAGACCATTAAAACTGTATTTGAATAGTTTAGATTACACTATAATGATGAGTACTAAAATTGGTTTCC